ACTATCTTTTATTTATTACCTACCTTAATCCTTACTTAGTAATATACGTCCTTTAGGTCTAGCTTTATATACTACTTTACTCCTACTAGATAGTTAAGGATTTTACTAATAAGGGGTAGTAGTATATAATTCTTAATAGTTACTTTATTAAGCCCCCTATAGTCTATATAAAGATATAGCTTACCTCTCTTCTTAGGAATAAAGAGAATTAGTGCCCCTACTAGGCTTATAAAGTGTTTAATCTAGCCCTTCTTAAGTAACTTATTAATATATATCCTTAATTTCTTTAGTTTTTTTTTAGCTAATAGGTAGATAAGGCTAAATAGCGCTTCTACCCCTAGCTTTAAATTAATTATATATAAGTAGCCTTTATTACCTACTAGCTAGGCTACTAGGCCTATATTAAATATATATACTTATTCCTTATAGGCCTCTAGTAAGGTAGCCTTTATTCCTCTATTTTATTTAGTCTTTACTTCTTCTCCCTAGTTATAATAAGGTATCTCTAGTGCTTCTTTATCCCCCTTATATTATAGGTAGTAGATTATTAGTTAATAGGCTAGAATAGCCCTTAACTCCTTATATACCTTCTTAATTTCCTACTTACTTTAAATAAGTTAAAAGTAGTTTTTTTTTAGTAAGTATATCTAACTAATTATTATTTACTTTATATTTAGTTATACTACTTATCTTTAGGGGATCCTTAAGATAGCGTTATACCTAGCTATATTACTAACTTAAAAGGTATAGCTTTATATCCTTAAGACTTTTATATTATCTATAACTTCTATTACTACCTTTTTTATTTTATAGTCTAAGGCCTTACCTCCTTATATACCTTAAAGCGTTAGGCCCTCTTAGCTTACTTCTACTAGTACCTCTATATATAATATCCTTTAGTATAGTATATTCTTATTTATACTAGAATTAATTAGCACCTTTTTTTTTTTCTATATACTACTTATTTTAGTATAAAAATCTACCTTAAAGTAGTAGTATAGTTTTTTATCTTAAGGGAGCTTAATACTATTAACCCCTATTAGCACTAAGGCGTACTATCTTCTTAAGTGTTATAGTTATTTATACTTATAGCACTTCTTTTTATTACACCTAGCTAACTAGTACCTAGGCTTCTTATAGTTATAATAAGTAAGTAGTCCTTAGGTCCCCTCTAGCTAAGGTGTTATACCTTTTTTTTTTTTAACCTTTAGCTTTAATATAGGTATACCTACTAGCGTTATAGCTATTAGTATTAAGTATATACTAGTAGCTTTAGTTAAGGGGGTGTCTATAGTTATTAGTTATACTACTACCTTTTAGTAGCCTTTCCTCTCCTAACCTTACCTTAGCTATCCTCTTAATACCTCTTTTATATAGGTCTTAGTAAGTATTTTTACCTTTTTTACTACGTTATCTAACTCCTAGTAAGTAGCTAGTAGCCTCTTAGTAAGTATATAAGTCCTTAGGTCTAAGAGCACTTAGTTTAAGATATAGACTACTTACTACCTCTTTATTTAAGGGTTAAAGTACTTTTTTTTAACTATTTTATACTTATTAATAAATTATTAGTATAACTAGCCTAAGGCTTATTATATAGCGTCTAGCTTTATAGTAGTATTAAAAGCCTATATATTATTATTAGTAATATTTACTTTTAGCTAGTTTTTTATAACTTCTTAAGGCACTTTACTAATCTTACTTTTATAATAAAAACCTATATACTTCCTTTATTTATATACTAAGTTACTTTTTAGTATAGTACTAGTGTATTTTACTTTATTATTATTAGTTATAAACTTATCTCTTACTATATTAAAATATATTTTTAACTAAAATAAGAATTCTTATAGTTTATTTTAGCTTCCTTTTTTATACCTTAAGGTAGGTAATCTTTTTAAAAGCGTATTAGTATAAAGTTACTTAGTCTTTAGTTAGGGATTAGTAGTTATTTTTATCTCCTTTTATATATCTTTTATAAATATATTACTTTAAAAGGCCTTAATTTAATTAATTATTTTTTTTTTCTTACTTTTTTTACTTCCTCCTCTAGAAAGGCCTTTAGCTTTTCCTTTAATAGTTTACTTAAGTTAATAGCATACTACTTATTTACTAGTATAAACTTAGTTATATTAGGTATTAGTTATCTTATTATAGTGCTCCCTTATTACTAGGCTATAGTTTAAGATCTAGTAAGCACTATTACTACTTTAGTAGTTAATACACCTAAGGATAAAGAGATATTAAAACGTATTAGAGGTAAGGATAGTATTAAGTAAAGGAGTTAGTAACAGGCGTAGTTAGGGTTTAATTATAATAATTATTTTAATATGCCTCCTCTAACCCCTATCTTCTATAAAGTTTTCCTTTTTTGTTGTTCCTTTAGTGACTAGTTTATCTAGTCCTGGTCCCACTCCGGTGCCCCCCTGGGGCCCCGCTCTGGGCACCCGACATGTGTGCTGTTCCGGCATCTGTCGCACTTGCCCACCAAATTTCCCACTCATTGCCGTGCCCTGTTCTTCCACGCACTGATGACTTCGGCTCTCTTCGTGTGAAGTTGAAGGCTGCATCGGGAAGATGAAGTAATAGCGACACCGGATCTATCAAAATAGTCGCCGCTACTCGCGGCGCGAAATCTGCTCTTTGTAACAATGGTCCCATCAGTAGTGTCCCGTAACTGTTGCCAATGAGAACGAAGTCGTCCCACGTCCCCTTCTCTCCTGGATAAGTAGCCGTTTGGGAAGCTCGTTGTTGCGCCACACATTTGGCAATCATGTCGCAGAGTTCGGGGGTTGATGCAAGTGGGTACGTCGTAATACGGGATGAAACTGGTAGCATTTCGACGGCAAGTATGCCGACATCCTTGGGTATAGTATGAAGCCAAACCATGTAAGGAATTAGACCGATGCCCAGGCCATGAAGGAAGACGATTGGGCGTTTTGTGGCAGATTGATGTGGGCGACACCAGTACGACATTCCATTGGTGGCAGAGTGGGCGAATGGAAAGAGATTGATGATCCGGAGCGGGAAGATTTTAAAAAAGGTTGAAGGTGGTTGTCTGTAATAGCGATATCCCTGTGATAGGAGATATAATGTCATTAAGGTATCGAGGAACCAAATGACCTAATGAGAAAAATCGTCAGTTGAGAGTAGAAGGAGGCCCCGCCAAGTTTTGCTATCCCGCCTGGGACTGACGATAATTATCTCAAGAACTTTAACTCACCAAATAGTAGAGTAAGCTGCGATGTTGGATAATGACGGGATCAAACATAAGTCTCAATGCCTCAGCATCTCCTCTGCCTGGACGCAGCTTGATCCCGAGTTTCTCTTCCGCGTCGTCGATGTATTGTTCGATTTCTTGATCAATATCCTTGGTTGGTCGGCTAACCATGTTGTCTTGTTCGAACAGTGCCCAGAGTAGCCAGTCCTTCAGGTTATCTCGACGAATGTCCTCCATGTGGGAATTGAGCATCCACTTCCGTACGAACTTGTCGGGTGCCCGGAGCGGGGCCCCAGGGGGGCACCGGAGTGGGACCAGGACCGGATAAACTAGTCACCGAAGGAACAACAAAAAGGGAAAACTCTGTAGAAGATAGGGGTTGGAGGAGGCATATTGGAATAATCGTCACAATTGAACCCTAACTACGCCTGTCGCTGACTCCTTTACTCGATACTATCCCCGCCTCTGACAACACACCCTTTCACGGAGATTCTGCTGGCGAGAGTCACTTATGTGGCGTGAGATTTTGACCCCCAGCTTGCGCGGCGTTGAGAATGGCTCCTATGCCTCTCAGTCACCAGAAGAAATTGCTATCTTTGGCAATGGCGTTCAGGTGGGGATGCGCAGCACCGTTATCCTTGGGGGGGAAGATTGCGTCACTGCACCTAAGTCAGTGGCTAGTTATGTGCATTCCGGAGAGGTCAAGTGGTCATTGGATGACGTTGAAACATGGAAGAGATATCAATGGACTGGAAAAGAGGAGCTGGAGTTAATGTTTCTAGATGGAAAAGATCATGGACAGAGCATCATGGTTCCTTTCCCTCACAAGCCAATACAAGAGGTCATCTACTCGTACTGTCAACGAGACGATGGGTTTGAGCCTTTTGCTTACAAGGTCATTGGCGGACCTGAAAGGATATCTAGTACGCGAGAACAGACCACAGAGGTTTTAGAGGTGAAGGGAATATAGATTACCGTAGTCAATAGCACCACAACTCCACTTACACATTGTTCGGACACGTTGTGAATAGCATCAGGAACAATATGGAATGCATTTTACCTTCGTACGTTCTTAATGCACTGATTACTGAGACTCCTCATCTCAATCAGACAAAGCTATTCAAATGATGCCCAACACTTGGTTGTTTGACATGGGATATTTGCAGACTTGATTGGTTGAGGGCAAATTGGTCCTTAGAGTTGCTCCGAACGTATCACTGTCAGGATGCAGCTGACCTGACCTACCCCCCCCTGGCTGGCCTGACCTAGGCCCACTCTAACCCTAGCCCTATTAAAGAAGGAGGGTACGTCAGGTGAGGTATAATTAATTCTTTTAAAATTCATAGATACAGGTTAGGGTTAGTAGTTAGTTTAGCGTATAGTAAATGTTTATTCTTTTAGTGTTAGATAGAAGGGTGTAAGGGTTAGGGTTATAGATTGATCCTGGATTAATACAGGATTAATCTACATTTTTAGGTGGGCCTAGGTCAGGTCAGCCGGGGGTGGGGGGGGGGGGGGGGTACGTCAGGTGAGATGTATACCGTATCACTGTTGACGCTCTATAGGTGGCGTTAACACTATCAAGACTGCAGTCTCGGGTTACCAGTCGGCTACACCTGACCAACATGTAGAATAGAAATCCTCATGAATTGGAAATATAGGTCTATGCATCATAGGAAACCGATACGTGTTAAAAGTAACTGCAATGCGCCAAGATATCAAAGCTCCGCGAGGTAAGTAAACGGTGTTGGTTTATACTAACAATGGCACTAATAGATATCTCCTAGTGTGGTGGAGATAATGGCACTTCAACCTCAATGACACTAGAAGTGTTAGGTGGGTTCTTCCAGAATTTGATCACCTTGAGTCCAACCGAATCGAAGAGAGCCAACCACTGCTTTTCTGTGCGCTCCTGCCCAGCCAAACACACCATCATAGTGATATCAAGCGAAGTAGGTCCTAAGAGGCATTTTTCGTCATCCAAGACATTGTCATGGATGAGCAACCTACTATAGCCAGGCTTCATCGCGCCTTTTTGCATTTCTAGAATCTTACGAGCTGAGGCATCGGGCCAATCGTGGATGATGTGATGCATGTAATATGCACGGGCACCTGTCGACGAGTTAACACTGAATTTAAGAAGCCTCTATTGCGAAGACTGTACTCTTTATTGGCTGCGGCGTGAAAAAACTGTACTCCAGCTTGTTGACGGCGTTGGGGATGATTGCTTTCTCATTTGCGTCGGCAATGACTTCTGGGAGATCTTCGAGATAGATCCTTGAGGCTACCTCTGGGTAGGCAGTATAGAACCTCAGTATATCTTGGCCGATGCCACCACCAATATCGACAAGCAGTGGACAATTGTGATCAGATTCATCCACGAGGTTTTTATGAGGGTAAATTTCCATCCAGGCTGGCTCTTTCATCGTTGAAAACTTCATGAGGGTGTTGAAAATCTCTCCTGCTTTTGGATTTTCCTTCAAATAAGACCACATACTTTCATGACCGGTTAATTCTTTGACCGGAGTGTCATTGGGATCGATAGGGTTTTGGTGGCCTCTTTTCGCTAAATATGCAGGCAAGAGATCAAAGGCATGGTGACTGATCAAGTGACTGTGGTTGTGAGAAGGGTTCTGTCCATTTGTGTAATAATACTCACTAAAAGTCGATAACTGTACCGAACTCTGGGCTGGAAAGATCAACACAGAATTGATTTGGCTTAAACTTTTCTATTGGTACTTGCTTGAAAAGTCCATTTGCAGCCAGTAGACGAAGGAAGCGATCTTCAGCCCTTAGTGTTGCTCTCAAGGATTATGTAGGTGGTCGATGACGCAAACAGTACTTACGGAGAAGCTGGGAATCACACCCCCCGACAAGTTCCGCAAGTTCCATGCTTGTCATAGGAATGTTGCCTTTTTCATGCCATTTGCCCATCAAACCTAAATCCTTAATGACTTTCAATCCAGCCATTACAGTCGGCTGATTTATGTTAGTTAGTTAACAAATAGAACTTCATCACGATCAATATACTTGCCAGAAACATACATTATTTAGATAGAGTCTAGTATAGGTCTCCCATGGTGACTCCAAAATAGCAATGGCTTCGTACGTTGCTTGCAGTGCTTCAGCTCGATCTTCCTCAGACGGGAATGAAGACACGGTGACATCTTTTACGGCGCGTAGATATTCGGTGCCGTGGTTGGGTCCGCCGTTGTTTGCCATCGTAAGGTAACTTAGAAGTGGAATCAAGTCTAGATTAGCTGGCAAAAAAATGAATATCCTCTTCCAATCACTTTGGCGATTTCCAGGGAGAAACCGAAATCTATGACAGATCAGTGTTGCCTATTTAAATCCTCAACACTTTGGGTTCCTTTCTGATTACTCCGCATAAATTTTCAGGAGGGCGGATCAAAAACCGGATATTTAGCACCTTAAATGTTGAAACAAAACAATAAGCTCGCTCTGCCAGGAACAAGCTCCAGCTAGCGTTGAGGTACACCAGATAATAGGGTTCTTGGCAGCAAAAGGTATGATTGCCTTGAAAGAGGACGTCCACATGCCGCGTCGCCCGGTTCTAATGCAAATGTTTATCTATTAATAAGTAGTTAATATAAAGTGCGGCCGATAAAAAAAAAGAAACACCCCAAGTAATGGTATTCAGGTTATTGGATTTGGGGGTAAGTCGAGAATCGAATGCTCCGCAGACCAGCTCTTAATGATCGCTAATAGAGCCCTTAGGGTTTCAAACTCGGGGTCAGAGCGAACGGATTGTTTCGTTGGAACCTTAATAACCCATGTCAAAATGAGCAAATCAGCTCGCCAGAGGAAAATGGTAACTCTATTGAGCTGACGACGTCATACAAATCAGCAGCGCACGCGACAAGTTGTGCGAGTTGTGACGACCCAACAAGCTACAGGCTATGACAGCCACACCAGACCCTGGTAAGCGCGGGCGGCAGAGTCTTGTACGAATACAGCTAACAAGGAACATAAGTGACTCCCTGGAACAGAAGAACCAGAGTATACGTCACTTAAATATAATACAAGGCAGTACTGATACGCTCCTTGGCAGAGCGCGCGCGACCATAGAAAGATTGTATAAGAAATTAGGTAGTAAAGAACAGGGCTTACATATACAGAATAGACTTAGACGCACTCAAGGACAGACACAAGCTACCCTACTGCCTATGACCACCTGACTGATCACCAAGCGGTCCACTGGCTAGCAAACTAACCCCACTGTTACCGAGTATTAACCTCAGCTATACTATTAGCAGAAACACTACTATCGGATTACTGAGCGTAGCACGAACCGGCTGATTATAAACTTGTTCATGGTATGAGTTCTCGTGGTTAATGGATTTGGGATGGTACTATTATGTCGCAAACTGATATCGTCGTATCAACATTATACTATGTCGGTCGATGTTCAGCGCTAAGATTGGTGACCTTGTGTAAAGGGACACACAAGAATTCTCAACCGATGCTGGTAGGCTAGAACTTAGTAGAGGACTGTGTTCTTACCTTCTCAACAAATGATGTTGAATGTAAGTTAGTGAACGCGCAATCCTTACAACCTCGCTCTAAATATTCGTCAAACTTCTGACGGCACACTTCAATTACGAATTCAGTTTGAATATATTCCATCACATCCTTGCCCTTGAACGTAAATCGCAATGTATCAGGTTATTTTGGCTAGGTCTATTTCTGACTTAAAAGGTTTCTGAAATTCTGACATACCATGAATGCCAAAATGCCCTCAACTAATACTTACACTAGCATCAAAGACATCGAGGCTTTTGAGCAACGTTGCTGTACTGTAAGACTTTGGGTCTTGAGTAATACTGGTGTGACTCTTGATACTCGTACTACTTGCACTGATCACCTGAACTATTTCAGAATGGGATCATATATGACGAGCTAGACAGGAGATCAAGGTTTGCGACGTGGTGGTATATTGGTCATAGCCAAAAACCTTTTGCCCATGCGAGGGCGGTTACTCTGATGCTTTCAGTCGTTAAACGAAACCAAACGGTTGATCTTGTTGGCTAAGAATGCTTGGCCACTTCCTTACCAGATCAGTAATTTGAGTCCGGTGCCACTGCGTATTAACACCTACAATCTGCTTACTCTTAGCTGAGCCACCTCTTGCAAAACTTGTTCAACAGAACCGACAATTTACCAAGCCCAGAAAGCAATATAACCCCGAATATAACCCCGAACGACTTTAAAACTTGAAAATCGTTTTATATCCAAAGCCTTGGCATTCAAGAGCCGCTCATTAAACGGGCTTGATTTGTGGTGACGACGTCGATCGCATCAACTGACGACATCATAAGAGCAGCCCGGTTTGGTCCCGTACCATCCCCTTCTGGGAACACGATATAATTGCTTCTCATCAAAGGGAAACGCGAAGGGTTCATTATATCTTTTGAAGCCGTCCCTGCGAAACACACAGCTCGACTGCTTGTCAAGCGACATGGAGGCTGGGGCCTTCACGATCTCAGTTATTATGTGGTGATGGCAGAATGAGACGTGTAAAATAGCCACTCGGTCGAGCAGCGTATGAGGGTCAGTAAAACAATGACCGACCTACTTGAAGTAGTTAGGAATGGGAATCGACTCCGACGTAACGCTTGTAGGTTTCCAATGAAGGGGTGCGTACTACCGTGTCATGAGATCGCAACACTCAAGTGCTTGGCCATATCCCATATTAAGTGAAAAACTCGGATTAGAATGTTTATGGGAAAAGGCCAACAGCTGCAATCTCGGCATCTTACGAGATAACCATGTCTGTATATATATGAGTGGCTTTGCCTACCTGTGCGTGTTTTTATACCTCTTCTTGCATCATTTGTTCTACTTTGCTATTCACTTGGGTTTTTCATGGCCATAATATAGTTGGAAAGCACCCTTTTTGCAAGCTCTTTTTCTATAATCTCTATAGCGGGTTTCAGAAGGGCTGTACCTACTATGGCCAGTTACAAGTTTCTTAACAGAAATTGTACAAGGCTTACGAGTAGCTGTGGGTGGTGCCGTCAATTCCTTAGGTTTATTTGGTTTAGATTCGGTAAATCTAAAACGTATGAGTCTGTTCACAAGAAGAGCATGAAGACTATCCCTCTTCACCATATGACAGAGGCAGTTCCTTCGTACAGTCGCAGCAATGTATAGCCGAGCTCGATCTGTGTAGCCAAGACGCTGTTAGGTTCTTCTACAGAAACAGTAAGCAGAAACGAATGAAGGTCCAGTTCACGGTCGTAACTTGACCCCAAAGTCCCTTGTATCATCCAAAGGCTTCTCCTTGGTGTGGTTTTCCGAATGAGGTTTAAAAGAAAAAAGAATCTAAAACAAAAGCGCTAATATAGAGACTGTTCTTGCGCACTACCAGTCTCATTCCTATCCATCAGTATTGGATTACAGACCGTACTTCAATAGCAGAACTTACAGCTCCTGGAGCAGTAATTAGAATGCAATGTCGCGACGATCTCGTCTAGTTGATAGAGAGGTCAAGTTGCCGTTGGCGCAATGTCCCCAGGCGTGCTCTCAACTTCTAGTTGGTGTAAAATATCTTGTATGGGTGCTCCGGATCGAATGCTCTTGAGGATGTCGTGGGCCTTGGTCTCGGGCAAAGACCGCAGTGCCGATACGATTGACTCGAGGCAGCCACTTCGATATTCCATCTCGGCATGGGTCCGCTTCAGTGCCGAAATTCGGGATTCGGATGGCTGGGCGTTGTAATTACACTCGAACCCCTTGGCAACGCAGACAGTACATCGCGGACGTTCGGCGGAACACTAGAAACCCGGGGGTTGTCAGCGTGGGTTACTACTGCCACGGGGGTCGGCTGATATTGCTGTCTTTCATACCCTGGTCTTGCGCTTCCTGCAACTTTCGCAAGCTGCGGTTGCGTTTCGTCTTCTTGATCGTGCAGTAGTATACTGACATTGTTTTGAAGTGTCAAAGGTTGTTTGCGAAGAAATTTGAGGGGGTGTAGTGGGGTCGTCTGGTGGTTGAATCGCCGGTTGGATCTCTCGATAAGTAGGATAAGCAGCCATAGCTGATGTTTGAACAGCTAAAGAAAGACCATATCGCCATCTATAAAACGTGACGTTGCGGTTGAAAACAAAACGTGGATGTGGCTTCCTTAAATATGTATTTGCTATTGTCCTGTCGCTTTTGATAAACACTTTAACGACTCGGTCCTCGGAAACTGTCGTAGTCAGAGCACTGGTTAAACGCTACAACCAACGTCACCTTAATGGTAAATAGTGGGTAATAAGTTATATAAGCCAATGAAACAAACGCTCTCGTCTCGGGTGTACCTCCGTAAGAGCCAGCCAGTCATATCATAGCACTTATGTCATGCTAGACTTAGTTGTTGTGAAGAATGCGTCATCAGAGTCCAACTTCATCTTGTCTCTGTGATTTTGCATGTCATGTCCATAAGACAGGTTATCCTCGTAGTGGCCAATGTACTCACACTAGAGAGTCCGCCGTCGTTGTCTAGATGAGTTGGGGGGCACTCGTATTTGGCGCGGAACTACATATATATTGCATAAAGCCTTGTCGATCTTCAAGGCGCACAGGTGCTAGAAACACTGGCAATGATCTTCGGACCAAGTCCACCGCGTTGGCGAATACGATTCGAGCTTGCCTTGACTCCACTCTGGCATTATCACAACCCTTCCTCTTACTCGTTTCCAGATATCACCCTCTGCAAGGCCATTCGACATTTGATGCTGCTTTACTTGCATCTATTCTGAAAAAACTAGCAAGCCCTTCGCTAGCCTTGTGAAAGTGCTGCAGGCAAGACCAATGGAAACGCGGTTCCGGCGTCTGATTGAATGCAACTTTGAGCGATCAATTATACGCATGAGTCAGGGCGTTCGTTGCGGTGCATTGTGGACACCCTTTCCTGGGTCGTCAGCATCGCCGTCGGTCCACTAAATCATATCACTGAGGTGAAGACTTTGGACGTTGGATATAAAATCTCGGACCAGCGCCTAATTCCTCTGTATCAGTGAAATACTACTCCCCAGTTTCGACGAAACCAGGGCTCAATCCATAATCATCTTATGATGTTGGCAGGAAGCAGGGAAGACTTTGTTATCTTGGGTTCCGCCTCACGAAGTGAAGCTAATCAGTACAAGTGGCCCTCGCGTAGATAGATAGATGTCAAGGTTTTCGACAGTCGCCAAGTACAAAGTGTTACATCTTCCTTATTAATTATATCTCGATGAAAAGGGAGGCGCTAAGGATTGCACATACTGGCTGACGGCGTTCTTGCGACATTTCCTACCTCTTTCGAGTTTATATGCTTAGTTTACGGCAGCCTCTAGCGTGGCGATTGTTGCCCGTCTCTCTCGCCAGTTTATTCGCTCTCACGAATCTGAATTTGCCAAAACCTCTTTGCGAGTGTTCCTACGTATGCTGTTGATGGATCTGTCACGGCCAGATCCAAATCCTTCTGATCTCGACCGCGGCGGTCCTTGCCTCGCATCTCGAGGTCCTTCATTATCGCGACCGCCTCACGGACCTCCATGATGCCCCTTTCCAGGGCCAATGAAAGGAGACTTTGCGCAATGTCTCCGACTCAACTGCACCCGCTGTTGAGCATATGGTAACAAGTCATACAGAGACGGAAATAGAAGCGCCACTCTGGGTTTCGGCCCGAGACATCACCTTTCTGGAGCACCGCGTTGGCGAGAGACATCAGTGTCGAGCGCCAGAAGAATGAACGCAGTGGTTCTGGGTATGTTTTCCGGCAGTGGAGGACAATCATGTTGAACTGATTGATAGCGGCCGCTTGCGTTACTACTATGTCGGTTAAGTAGCCGCATAAGGTTAATAACAGCCAAGTGGTAATATATGCTGAACGACGTTCGTCAAACACCATTCGAATAATCCCCCAAACACCTGACTTACTCCAATACAAGCGTGTAGGTGTGCACAGCCGTCGCCTCTAGCCAACTCTAGCGTCAGGCCGAGAAAGAATCTAGAGTCTGGTATAGGAACCGTAGAGGATTCTTGATTATACGCTTATGGAGTTGCATAGAGAGGAATATTAGTTACAGATGTAAGCTAAGATGCCTTAAGCCATAGGACTTACGGCAAACCAAGTGTAGCCATAATCTACTAAGATAATATAAAGACTTCCTAGCAGGGTAGCTAAAAGAATCAGTCGGTATTGGATAAAACTATATGCTCTCACGTTAAGTTTACATCCGTCAGGCAATTAAGGGTAGCCCAAGCCATCTGAGCCGTGGCAAGCTGCCAGGCCGAATCATTTTCGATACCAATGTCCTCAGAAGCAACCGAATTGATGCCGAAGAGCTCAAGTATCTCGGCCATATCTGACATTTCACCGAGATATCGTTCGTGCCCCGCCCCGGCTTCCGAAGGAAAATGTGGTGACAGACATGTACATCAGGGCAGCCATAGTAAAATGACGGTACTTGTAGTCTTTTTGTCTTTTGCCCATCGCTGCTTCAATTCCTAGTAAAAAGCGCAGCCGACAGTGGCGGCTTCCGTTTTAACCGTGGCATACTTCAGCTATCGCGTGGCGAGGCTAAGTGCACAGCAACATGGCTTAATGGGTGTTACTTACACACGCCCAGGAGACTAGAGCATTGATGAGAAGGCAGGAACAAAGCGGGTTGTTTCCAAGGAGGCCTTCCAAGAAGAAGTCCACATCAAACAAGGGCATCAACGGATGGTTTATTTCGAAGTAGAGTGAGAGCACCTTGAATGTCAACTCGTTAATCATGGTCACATTTGCCCATTTAGAACTGTCAACACTCAGAAATCTCTTGTTGAACGGTTTCGAAGGCGGTGAAACCCCAGAAATGCGCGAGGCACCTGTGCCCATGCAACCAAGCTGCTGTCGCACACCAAAGGGAGACGGGTAAGGTTGAGGATGATTCTCATGAACTATGCTGAGAGAGATACGCGACAAGTGCTAGCTAGTTTTCAGATCAACTGCCAGTCAGCGGTAACTAGAATAGCATTATTATGATGGAGGCTGCCAAGTCAAGGTAGGAAGATCAAGGACATTGCCATCTTTGTTAGTTCTGCTTGACTGCGAAAGAAGCTCGGAATCCATGCTTGACGGCTGAATCAAAGACCTAATCGGATAAGCAATGGGATGTGTCATCATCAGCTCAAACTCCAGAGAGGATTGTTCGGGTGGCAAATTTGCCCCGTCAAGTGAATTCCAGGACAGCGCGATGCCACAACCACGCAGAGCAGAGGTGAGCTCCGCGGGATCGCTGCCGTTCCTAAGAAGTTGAAGTGCCTCAAAAGCCTCTCCGTCCGACACACTTTTCAACATGCTGATCAAGTCGGCTGCTTCTGCATTGCTGTCTGCCTCTTCCTTGTCCACAAGTTGAGTGCCGACGGGGACTTTCTTCCAAATCCTGTCGGACATCAGTCGATACTTGCACGTGATTCCCCGACGAAGGCATTGAGAGCAGGTCAACCGTCCATCGCACTGTGGAGGGAAGACTATCAGCATTTATTGGCAAAAGGCGCCTGATGGTATGCGCCAGGCGAGGTATGTAGAGAAAGGGATTTCTCACGGAAACAAAACAAAAAAAAGGGGGGGGGGAGGGGGGGGGGAGAAGAAGAAAAAAGGTAGACCCCCAGAAAAGAAAGGAGAGTAAACGCACAGCATTTTTCTTTTCCTGGCAGGAATCGCAAGCTCTGGAAACGTATGGACGCCGTCTCTTAGGTCCCTTGGGCTCGCCGCTCTCGCCGTCTATGGGAGGTCCATCGGTATTGCTGGGCAGAGGTCGCGGAAGGAGATGTTTGAGGCCGTTGTTATTGAATGACATTGAAAGAGATGCCTGACTCGAGGCCGTGACATGCCAGGTGTTCGTTCACCCAGACAAGTTTGACAATAGAGGAGCACAAAGGGGGGCCCCAGCTGGCGGATTACTACTATTTCGGAGAAGAAGGTAGAGCCCTCTACTTGCCGCGCTCGGCGTTTCGGCGTCCTAAATTCTTTTAGAGAGAAGAAGCTCGTTTCTAAAAGATTGTTACCAAGAGGAGCTAAGGGCACGATGCGGATTAAAGAATGCCATAGGTAGCGTACGCAGTACGTCTGCTAATATATACCTATGCCACTCCACGATGTAGCCGGTGCAATTTGACTAGGTCGGACTATTATCGGTGGGAGCTTTGATTGGTCATACGCATATGCTCGCCAGTCTAGTCCAGGCCAGGCCAGACCAGGCCAGGCCAACTATAATGATATCATATTGGCCTGCGAGTCTGTAGAGGCCACGGTGATGATGGGGGGTGGGGAGGGCCGAAGCTGGCCCAAGCTTGGGCTGCTTCCGATGACAGGTGGGAAAGGAGACGAATGCGAGGCCAACGGGCGATCTGTGCGCCGAGAGGCAATGGAATTCTAGTTCGCTATATGGAAAATTTGAAAGATGCATCGGAGTGCATTCCGTCCAAGGGTGTTCAGGCTCAGGGGCCCACAGTCACCGGGAAATAGCTTTGCACATGGTGGCCCAAGGGGGGGAGGCATAATGCCCACGGACCCCGCCCACGAAGCTGGGGGCCGTAAGGGATAGCAATGTCAAGGACTGGGGAAATCCCGAACAGCCCGAGAAGAATGAGGAAGAAGCCAATGTTACTCATTCATTGGCTGCCGTGTGATGGCAAACAAAACCAGCCACAATGGTGCGATGTGGTGGGGTTGTGAACACGGAGCGGATTGTGTCGCAAATCACACGCATTTATTCCTTGTCCACGGAGGTGTGCCACCACGTGATTGCCATATTCGTAAGGATGATGCTGCGGGAAGGAGCAAATCCTCTGCCAGTCTGCCCGGCAGGCACGAGCGCTTGGACCCTGGATGGGTGAGTTCTTAACTACGGTGTACTTGCCTACTTGGAACGATATCAACCGACAGGGCAACTGCGCCCCGGTTTTTGGTCGTCCCCATACGGGTTCCAAACCCGACCGCTTTCGTCCTTCTTCTTTTCCTCTATCATTGGTATCCTCCGCCCTCCACAAAAATGAGACCCAGCTGCCCGTGAGGGTGTATCAGTGGAATGATAGGATGGGTGACCGGCCACACCACGACAGCCGGCTGCAGCTTCCACTCTCGAGACGGCTTGGCCGATTAGCCACACAGTCCGGGCTCTAGCCACTTCTAAAGAACGAAGCACGCATAGATGGGCAGAAACACGAATTGCCAAGTGGCGAGGCTATCGGCGCCTGACATCCAATCGTTCAGAGCGGAAACAGGTTCCGGGAAACTGCCCAACCGTCTTTCATAGTGTCCGGGCTGGAACTTTCTTCTGGCACCCTTGACCCACGGCTGACGCAGCCAGGTCGGCAGTATTATCACGTCACTATGCGGCATTGGATTGTAAACACCTTGCTGTCTCTTCGTCCGGCATACTGTACAAGCCCGTATGCTGCCTGATATTAAGCCAAACCCGGCAGCCAGCTATCTTCCACGAGACGCCTCGCATTACGGTGCCTCTACGCTCAGGTGGACCCTGCCATAGTCCTCAGTATAGTCACCGCTGACCAACAACTCCCCAGCCTGGCCATTCTAGAGATTGACACCGGCTTACTGTAAGTCGAGTCAAATTCTCCGTCTACCACTGCTCTGCCGTGTCGTGCAGCACTCATGCCAGGCTGGCCTGGCCAGTCCCAGAAGCAAGACCGGGGTTGGGTCTGTTGTCTAAGCGATCGCAGTTTGCTATCTTTTTCGTTACTTTCCATTTTAAATGTATGCACCACTTTGAAAGCGTTACATGCAAGGGTCTGCATTGCGGCTCCATTAACATTATATAAATGGATCTTGGTTCGTCATTTATCTATCGCCTGTGGTCAACGATATTCCAACCAGAATCCTCCCGCACCCAATCGTCCCGTCTCTCAGAGTCGGACAGCTGATTTCACCACACACTCAGTAGGGATCTTGGAGACGGTCTTACCTCTGACACTTACAAACCCGTCAAGCTGTCCTCGGAGTTCAACATAACCGACCAGACGGCCCGGGGAACCCCACGGAGCTTTCTTATATGACAACTATCCGTACGTTCCCTTCGCTAGGGAGTCCCAGTAGCCATGCACTTCTCGACCGGTGATGGCGTGAGCTCGACTCACCCAAGTAGGTAACCGAGCCAAAGCATCCTTTGAAATACTCCTAACTCCTTTACCGACTTGACAGAGGCGAGTGCTCTGCAACAACAGCATCACCATCAGGCTGCCTGGCCTCCCTTCGAGCAGCAACAGTCACCCTTCGAGCAGCATCAGTCACCATTCCAGCAGCTACTGGGACACCGCGCCGCAGCGCCTTCGGCTTTGACCTTAACCCCGGTATTCTCATGGCGCACAGCGGACCCCCAGTCGTCCATCTCGACGCGTAGTTCTCAGTCATGGCAAGGCTCATCATCTGGCAACCCCTCTGAGTCTCTATCATCGCCGACAAGCTCCATGCTGTCGCTCGTAGCTCCTCAATTCGTCCAGTCGGCAGGGGAAACGCGGCCCGTCCAGCCAGTAGACTCACCGGAGACGCCAAAGCGCCGCAGGGGCCGCCCAAGACTTTCGGAGACCAGCCAACGCGCCAGGACTGCGCAGACGCCCGCGAGAACGGCCAAGAAGACCAAGCGTCAGCGTGCCTCGACAACTTCAGCAAGCGAGGACGACGACTCGAGCAGCAAGGTTGGAGACGGCGGCGGCGGCGGTGGTGGCAGCGACGACGACGACAAGAGGAACAGGGTCCGCGCGCGCAACCGCGAGGCCGCCCATAAGTGCCGGCAGAAGACGCAGAAGGGCATCAGCCAACTTCAGACGCAGGAGGCCGTCATGGGAGGCATCAACAAGAGCTTGAAGTCCGAGGTCGAGATGCTGCGCGAGGAGATTCTGCTGCTGAAGCACATGGCTCTCCAACACAGCGGGTGCGGGTGCTCGTTCATCGAAGAGTACATAGCCGGCGCGGCGCAGAACCTCGTGCAGTCCGGCGCCAGGATATCCGCTACGCCTCGCGGCGGGAACGCAGAGACGGACGGCCAGCACTCCATGGCCGGGGGCGACGAGTGTTACATTGATCGGCGGGCATACGACACGCACAGCAAGGCGGAAATGTACCTGACTGGATTCGAGAGTGGGTTCTTTGACTTCGAATCTACCCCGTATCATGCCGCAGGGATCCAGCTTTGAGATGATAAAACCATCTGCGGCGGGAAGAAAAGGTGAGTAGGAAAGTCCGATGGGGGTGGTGGAGAGGGGGGCGGGGGGGGAAGGCGCAAATTGGGAATGGAAAGGTCAAAGGAGCACGCGTTGCCACATTAATTGATCACGGATACAGCGTCCAGTTAGAAACTGGTACAGAATCGACTGGCACAGTCAGTCACAGTGGGGTGGAGTTGAAAAGGCGCATACTGGTGCTTCTCGTCAGCCGTCTCTGGTGTGAAATTCTTTACACGCGGCCCCAGGTCTGGTATGGGATGGGTGTTTTTTCTTTTTTGGGAACGAGGTAGTCGGAGCCACCATCACGAAAGCATGCTTGGCAAAGGTAATACAATAATACCTGGCTTCTGGTTTACGTCTGAAAGTCCGCCAATGTGTTGGGATGCTACCAGGCGCAGCAGAGGAGTTATTCACTCAGTGCCTGGAGCGAAAGAGTCTTGTCGCTTCAAACACGAATCCTAAAAGGCCGGGATACCCTGCCTCTCCCCCCTCCACGGCTTCTCCTAACCGCGCCCGCGCCCCCCCCTTACCCTATCTCTCATACAACTACACGCGCTGCCACACACTTTCCTCGTTAGCATCATATTCTCTCTCATTGATACCTATAAAAAACTCTCTGAAAGATCGTAAGACAAACTGTTACGTCTACGTAAGGTTGGTCGGAATAGATGTTGGTTAGGTTTAGGGTTAGATTCAGGGCCACTTACGAATGTGAATTGGTTAGGAGTCGTATGTTTGTGGCTGGGGGGCAGGATAATGGCTAGAGCTATCCTCTTCCATCGTCAACTGTGCCATTTGGAACCGGCTGCTTCTAGCAGGCCAGTAAGAACCAGGAATATGCCAGGAGTGCTAAGACCTTATCGCTTCATCGGGTAGATGCTACGGATGTACAAGTACGTATACGGTAAACAGTTCCGCCGGCTAAGCAACAGGGTTCGTTCCAGCACGCACATGCTCGTCTATCAAAAAGAGACGGGCTGGGGCCCAGGGGAGATTAAGGTTGGTTTTCTTTCCTCGCACCCACAGCGGGCTCTCCACTGGTGTTGTTCTCGACGGAATGCACTCCGGTCCCCCGACCAACGACCTGCGAGGGACCCCCCTCCCCTTTCCCTTCCCCCACCTCCCCCCTCATCAGAATACCCTTGTCCTCTCGCGCGCATGTCATAGTATTTGGTCACAGGTTAATCCCCCTAAAGCCCAGGTTCAGGGGACGGGGGTCCTTGGCAATGACGGGGGCACAAGTGAGCCACTAGTGCAACTCCATAGACAGCCTCGACTTCTGACGCAACAATGAGAGGACCCGGAGTGTTGTTGGCGAAACCCCACGAAGTGAAGCCCGCCGTCTGTCCAGAAATTGTTGCCATCATGGATCACGCGCCGTGGGTTTTTTTTCTTCTTCTTTTCTTCTTTTTGCTTTTTTTGTGCAGAGGCCGTGCATGGATCGGTTTTCACAGTGTGTGTCTTGGGAGGGCCTCCGGTGAATCATCCCCTTTGCCAGCATCGCGCTTACTAGGATCCATCTGCAACGCAAGCGTCTTCAGGAGAACGCGGCTTAAGCAACCCATTTTATTGCCCCGCGGAGACTGCAGGGCCTCCTCACTCGCTCATGTAAGATGAGCCGTTCCTATCGTGTCGGTTGGGGAGGCGGAAAAATCTCCGTTGGAGTGCCTCGTCTCCATTTTCAGACGGGATATGACATTCGTTCCGATCAAAGCATCGAGAAACCCCTCGTATTCCTCTGTTCAAAAGCATCTGTCTTTAGCCTTCGCCTATCTGTGGTATTTTCCACCCGCCGCCCACGTCTCAGTTGACGACCGAGCAGTGTGAGCACAAACTGTGAAGCCCACACCTTAGAGTGTGGTCAGTTGCACTGCCAATACCAATGCTATCGTCAGCGCCGCGTGTTCCCCCCCGAGAGGAAACTGTAAGCGGAATGGTCGGCTCCCGGGCAATGGTGGCCCACCGCCCCGGCGGATGGTCAGCAACTGATGCCTGTCTTATCCAACGTAGCTCCGCCGGAGCACGTTCTCCGTGTGCTGGACAACCCTAGCGCCAGTCTATGGTTGGAACCCCTAGCACAGTCAAGGCTCCCGGATCTTTATAACGAACGGCGCAGGAAGCTTTTCTTGACATGATCCGAACATGTCAGCTTTTCAAGTTCCGAGGAGACTGGCAAGAAGAGATCCCATCGTCCCATCCCAGCCCCCCCACTTCCGAGATAAAGCACAAGCCATGGCACCGACCGCGGCGATGGATAACTGGACAGAGCACCCGCGGCAGCCGGACCTGTCAAAGTATCCGAAACTCTCACAGGAACAGACGGGCCACCTCCGCCACTTCCACAACCTCGTGTCCCAACCCGACAACGACTGGGACCTCATGGGGTCGCAGGAGCCGCTGCAGGAGTTCCTGGACGCCCTGGGCCGACCCCGTCGCCCGCGAGAACATCATGTACAGCGGCCACCTGCTGATGATGGTCTCGCTCTACGCGATGCTGTTCGACGACGACGGGTTCGAGGCGCCCGGCGCGCTGCGCTTCGTCTGGGACCCCCTGTTCTTCGGCATGGGGCCCGAGACGTTCTCGTACAACGCCCAGACGCTGCAGGACACAATACTGCGCGAGATGGAGGGCAACGGCTGGATCGGGTCCTGCTGCGAGCCGAACTGCGTGTTTGTCGTCTGCAACCAATTCCCCGTGAGTCCTTTCCCCGACTCGGGGCAGACGCGCCTGACGTGGTGAGCTAACACGTTGTGCCATCTTATTGGGGTGCGGCTCAGGGATGCGCGTCGAGGCACGTCCGTAATCGAAGGAGTCCTGGAGAAGTATAGGGCGGCCTGGGACAAGAAGGGGCTGGTCGGGCCGGATGGGCTACTCCCGGATTTCTGGATGGTCAGGCAGAACGTGACCCTCCCTGCCAGAGACCCCGCCTGGACGGCCTGGGGATGCGTCTTCATGAACGCCTGGAACAGCGCGTTCGTGCGGTCCCATTTCGACGAGCAATCTCTGGGCCACGTCACCAACACCGGAGGGGAGGTGCGGCTGAACCAGCCCCCGGTCGCGGCCGAGTTCAGGAAGATCGTCAAGGAGCACGTGGCGTCCCCGACCTCCCGCGCGACGCTCGAGACGGCGCGCCGGACCGTGAAGGAAGCCATGCGGGCCGACCCCGCCGCGGGGGGAGAAGGGCTTCCCGTACACCAAGCCCACGTTCGGGTACGTCGCTCAGTGGCTCTCGGAGATGGGTAAAGACGCGGCGCTGGAGGGGCTGCTCGAGTACGCCGACAAGAACCTCGGCCCCACGTGGGAGCGCGGCGGGCTGTACTACCCCCGCAACGACCAGCGGTTCGACGGCGAGCTCGAGTGGACACACATGGACCCCTTCTCCGGCAACGCCGCGATCGGGTACGCGCGGCTGAACGTGGAGGACGGGCAGCGGATCATGTGGGAGCGGCCGTGGACCGCGGAGGCCGTCGCGTCTCGGCCGCACGTCGACGGCGTCGACTTCCCGCGCGGCGACTGGGACCCGGCGAGCGGGCTGCTGGTGCTCACCGTCCGCACGTGGGACGGCGGCGCCAAGGCCATCCGCCCGGTCGTCAAGGGCCTGGAGCCCGGCCCGTGGGACGTCTTCGTCGGCGGGGAGCTCGCGGTGTCGCGGGTCTTGTCGGCCGGGGAAGACATCGCCCTCGAGGTGCAGGTGGGCGCCGCCGACCTGGACATTGTCGTCATGAAGCGTGCCTAGGAGAGGGGGCGCCTCCGGAACAGGAATGCTTGCGAATGAGTCAACCATCCCAAGATATTGTATTCACCTCGTGGCTACCCGCGTCATATTTGACCTCATCAAATATGTAAAGCACAGCGAAGTCAACCTGTGGGGGGGAAACGTCATACACGATATGCCCTCAGCCGGGCATCGCCTATAACCTGTATACAAAAAGGAAAAAGCCAGAAAAAGCAGATAACCAACCATCATCGTCGTATCACGTTGCCGTCTATCCATGAATAGCGCCCGCCGTGCCGTGCCATGCCATAAAACACCCCTGTACATGCAGGATCACCCCCCCCTCTTCGGGTTACCCATTACCGCACTCTCCTAGTCATCTTCGGCAGCGACCTCGTCGCCGTCCATCCAGATCTCGTGGCCGTCCCCCTCCCACACGGCCCAGCTCGCGAGGAAGCCCAGCACCGCCACGCCCGAAAGCCCCCACCACACGGCGCCGACGACGCCGTTGGCCAGTCCCTGCCCGTACAGATACCCACACAGCACCGGCCCGATCGTCCGCGCCGCGCTGCTCACGCTCTGGCCCATACCATGCACCGTCCCCAGCACGCTCGGGTGCGGCGTGCAGTTGTTGATCAGAATCGTCTGTCCCGGCAGCGCGAACGTCCGGCCCAGCACGTGGAGCAGCAGAACCCCGACGATGGCGAGCCAGATGGCGGGGCCGCCCTTGGGGCCCGGCGGTGGCGCGGCGTCCGTGGTCGGCACGACGGCGAGGTAGGGCACGAGGAAGTACGTCAGCGGGAAGAAGTAGAGGAAGAGCCGCCACGCGCGGACGGTGCCCAGGCGCGCCGAGAGGCGCGGGTAGACGAAGAGCTGCAGGTTGATGCCGATGACGCCGAGGATCGCCATGGCCATGCCGACGGACTGTGGCGGCATGCCGAGGCCGCCGGAGAAGCGGAAGGGCAGATGGGACGGCGCGGCGGAGGTCGGGGTCGACAGGAAGACGAACCAGAGGGCGTTGAAGGTGCCGACGTGGAAGGAGAGCAGGAAGTGGGCGGCGAAGGTCATGACGACGTTGCGGGTGAAGATGCGGCGGAAGGGCAGGCGATGACGGTACCGCGGGCGGGGCTTCTGCTTCGGCGCGGCCTCGTGCGACATCTCGACGTCGACGTCGGTGGCGCTTGCAGAGCCGGAGTGCAGCAGCGGCGTTTGCGCCGCGTCATCGCCGGTGTTGCCGTGGAGGCGACGGCCCCGCACGCGCGCGAGGAACCGCCGGACGAGAGACGAGATGCGCGCACCGACGCGGGAGCCCATGTCCGGCCCCTCCTCGCGCAGCGCCTCGTGAGTCTCATCGAGGCACAGCCAGACAGACAGCGCGGCGCAGGAGAGGAAGACGGCGTTGAGGAGATTGGGCGTGGCGTAGGGGTACTTCTTGAAGAATTCCACGTCACCGAAGAGGGAGGGGTAGCTGCTCGCCGGGTCCGAGAGGATACCGCCGAGGATGGGGCCAATGATGACGCCGATGTTGAACATCATCGGTAGGAGGATGAAGGCGCGGGCCTGGAACTTCTTTTCCCGGACGATCTCGCTGATCCTGTCGGGTGGTGTTAGCCACTCTGGAACAACCAAAAAGAAGAAGAAGAAGAAGAAGAAGAAAAAAGACGTACATTGTCCTCACAACGCCGACATTGCCGTTCGTCGCGCCGCCGATGGACCGGAACACGACGGCCTGCGCAAACGACTGCGAGAAGCCGAAGCCTAGGCACGCGAAGCAGGTGCCCAGCAGGCCGATCATGATGACCGTCTTGCGACCAAAGCGCTTTGAGTCGGCGAGGCGGCCCCAAACCATGGCGGTGATGAACTGCGCCGCGGTGAAGGAGGCATGGAGGATGCCGGCCTGGCTCGAGATGACCGAGTCCGGGAGGCTGGGGTCGAACGACTTGAGCTGGTAGAACATGTAGGACTGGGGCGTGATGTGTTAGTGGGTTGCTCGTCCTTGACAGTTGAACGGATAGGTCTCATGAAAGGTGCGGACGAGCCGTGGGATATTGCTACGAACCTGTAGAGACGTCTGCACTAGAGGCTCACTCAGCCTCGTCAGCGCGATGACTACCAACTGCTGCTTCTTCGGCAGGTCGCGCCACGCCACCGGCTTGGGCTTGTCCGGCTTCACGGGCGGCGGCGGCAGAAGTGCGGAACTGGAGAGCGGCGCGTTGGCGACCCCGACGTCGGCCATCAGGGTCCCGTCCGCCCTGTTCAGCATGGGCGTGTCCTCGTCCGCGTCATCGTCGTCGTCCGAGTAGCCGTCATCGTAGTCTTCGCGCTCGGCATCCGTGTCCTCGTCGGGACGCTGCAGCACCGGCACATCCTCTGTGCGCGTCGAAGACATGACAAGGGAGCCCGCAGGTGTGCGTTTTGCGCGTCTCACTGGGCCTCAACTGTTCCAAGAAAACGTATCCCGCGTCCAGGTAGAGAGTCGAGATAACCATGGACAATGAAGACAGTTGGGTATATTGACAAGCGAGACCTGAGAGACTCGACGCTGTTGGCCGCAAAACAAATGGTTGCAAGTCAGAGAGTTGCCGACAATATGATTGAAGAGGTGAAGTGGAAATGAATACATGGAAAAGAACCGCCAAGGCGACGTCTGGCTAAATGCCGACGGGCCGGGGGCGGGTCCACGCCGTGGCAGAGATACCAGGAGTCGAGCGCCACAGAACTGACCTTTGCTCGTTCCTCAGAAAGGTCACACGTATACAAGGGGCGAGCATGCACACAAGAGTCGGTCTGCCGCGTGCCGCTTCCAAATCTGCGCCGTCGAGGAGAAGCAACTCGCTCTTTTTGGCGCTCGCGCGTGGCCGCAATATTTCAGAGCGCTTGACGTGGGCATGTCGCAACACAGGCCGATCCCGGCGCCGGGACCGAGTATTGCAGTTCTTTGTTATGTACTCCTCATCTCACGGTGCGCCGAGCCCGGTCGGGATAAGTAACGGCGGAGCTTAATAAGCTTCGGTCGCACATCATCTTCAACTGGAAAGTCTATTCTCGGAAAACCAAAACGACGGCTCTGTGATAACCTATGGGGACAAGAGTACCCAATACTAGATGAAAACTAGGACATGAAATGCTGGTAGCGGTATTTTTGAGAGACCCACCAAATATCAAGGACGCTGAAGTCGCCATTGCCGAGTCGGTGCCGAGCGCAGCCATTTCGTCCGACCTCGCTGCAAGGTCAGCTTTTAAGACCGATAGACGTCGCAGATCGTGTTTGTGTAAGGGCGATGGAAATTTGTCAAAACATGAATAGCCGGATCGTCATTCAACCGCTCGTTTCGTAGCCATACATCAGCATTCAGATACATTATATGTACATACGCTCAAACTAGAAAGCAAGAGGACCAAATCCAACACCGACGCTCATTGTCTGTCGTCCAGTTTCGTTTTCCCTCCCGCGAAACGCCAAAGAATGCAGAGCATACCGGTTCCATCCAGGACATCTGTCTACATCATACCATTTCCCGGGGCTGATGCGGTGATCCCAAATCGTTGTTTCGGTAGTCCCGGCTGCGGCTCCGCTCCTTAGTCGGCTGCACAGGATTCGCGACCATGCTCGTCAGGCCGATAGTCTGATTTTGGTGAGAAGGGGGCTGGTAGGCTGGTGGAGCACCGCCATCGTAGGCATAGCCGCCCTGTGTGGGTACTTGACGCCACGGCTCCGGGTTGTAGCCGCCCCGCGCCTGGTTGCCGAACTTGAGGGGCACCCGGCCGCGGACCCACTTGCCGCCGAAGGTGAAGAAGAGCGAGACGAGGAGCATGAGGATGATGAGGGCTGCAAGGAAGTAGTTGAACTTGCGGTTGAGCGCAAAAGAGAAGCCACTACTGCTGTTAGATGGGTCCGGCCGATTGCCCATTGGAGTAAAGAGGGGGGGGGGAGGGGACTCACAGGAAGGCATTGAAAGTGCCGAGGGCGACAATAATGCGCCCGAGCCAGACGTGGACTGTCTTGTAGGGGGTTGTCTGCTGCGTCTTCTTGTGCTTCTGATGGTGCAAGAAGCCGATGGCGAATTGCGCCAGCAGGAAGGCAACGACAATGAAGCCGATGATCTGGTGGGCGGATTTGAAGCCACGAGACTATTTTCCACAATTAGCATTCTCCCATCATCACGCAGAAGAGCGGGTACCTACACGAGAGTACCAGAAACTAGTCAGAACCCCGAGAACGAAGCCGACAAGGACAATGAGCAACGCAACGCCCTGGTTGAGGGCGTGCCATCGGACCATGTTACCAAAGCGCAAAAGAACCGCACCAAAGGGGACAAGGAAGACCAGGGCGCCAACCATCAGGATGGCGTGGAAGATGGACTTGAAGTCCCTCCGGCCGTCGTCGGCAGAGACCTGATTGGTGCCTTCGTTGACAGAGTCCTCCTTGAGGACAGGGGCGTCGGCGGGGCCAATGGTCCGCTTCATGTTGATTGTGAAGCGTCCAAACTCCTCGTGGAACTTGACGGATGCGTCCCTCTGGTTGGAAAAGAAGCCCCCCTTGGGACCGACGGCGTAGACAGCCTTTTGGTTCTCGTTGGAGACGTCGACCCATCCTCCGGGCCAGCTTCTGCAATGGTCGGTGCATCGGGCGCTGAAGAACATGGAGCCGTTGAAGACACCGGTGCCGGGCAGAGCGTCCCACTTCATGTGGTCGTAGTATGTGGGCTCGTAGTTTCCGTAGGCAACGCGGGGCGAGAAGGTGACGCCGTTGCCGGACTCGTTGCGGTAGATCATGAAAATCAAGCTGTTCTGCATGCGATCCGAGCCGATGCCGATGGCGGCCCAGGAGCGGTCGATGGGGGCGCGCAAAGTAATGAAGACATCCTCGCCACTGTTTTCGGGGACTGTGAAGCCGAAGGCGACGTTGTTCTCGGGAGCGACGAAGGTGGACTGTCCAAAATCGGGCGCGTCGGAGTTTTGGGCAAATGAGGGAGTCGCGAATATGGCTGCAGGAAGAAGAGGACGTCAGTGGGGGGTGGTTCTCGACACCTAGGTCAACGTGTTGACCACGGGCGTGGGCAGCATCTTCAATAAGGTGTTTGCTGTGCCTCACTGATTCGAGGTGGTTGGAGACAAACCCCTCGTCATCGCCAGGTTGGCGCAAACCACCCAACAAGGGGGCGCACAAAGACGCAGCTAGGGCCACTCACCTGCAGCAAGGGCGGCGCGTCCAAGTTTGGAGAACAGCATGGTCGCGATTTTGGGTGGTTTCGTGGCGGCGGATACGCCTGGATATCTGGGTCACAATCTGGTCGTTGTGTTGGACCGACAAGATGGATGTGATGGGGGAGAAAAGGAAAAGAGAGAAAAGAAAACCCCCAGGTAGGGAGAAAACCGTTGCGAAGCCAGGGAAGAGAGGGAGGGAGCGAACAAGCAAGCAAGAAACGCAAATTACTGCTCGATTGAGCGTGGCAGGCCTTTTTCGTCTCAGAAGGCGACGTCAGGGAAGGTACCTACTTACCTGGTGGCACTTGGCGAACGAACGACGTACTTGGCCGCAACAACAATACAGGCAGGTAGGTCTTGGCAGCAATTAGGAAAGTACAGACAGTCTGTCTATATCTGTACCTAGGTATCCGTACTGATAGGTAGGTAGTACGGATACCATACCTATTAAGTTAAATTAACTGCAACACCGCACTGCCGAGATGCGAAGCAGGTACATACGTTGTACTGTACAGTAATCCTTTCTCCCTCCTTCCCTTGCGGCTCTCTTCCTCTTCTCTCCCTTATCCATCCCCTCCCCCCCTTCTCTCTCTCCCTCTCCCTCTCCTTCTCCCTCTTTACCCGCTAAACGCCACCGTCTCAAGACGCCCACCCGGCCCCCCACCACAGAGTCAGTCTAGTTACCTACTTCTCGCTGGGTACAGCACTTAGGTATGCTTGATTGACCTGCGTAATCTCATCTCAAGCACTACCCCGGCAACCTTTTGGCAGATCAGGCACAGTGGAGCCATATCGGCGGGGCATGTCGACACCAATCCCCAGGGGGGCTATGCCGCTAGCGAGATGGCCATCTCCGTGTCCAATCATGACGGTCCTTTTACACAAATCCCCTTGCCTCTTCCCCTCCCCTTGGTTCTCTACCGTTGCTTTTTGGGACATTTTACCTTTCTTTGGGACGTCTCCAGCAGCACCCGCAGCTCATAATTCCGCCTCGGTTTTCCCTCGTCAATCGTCACTCTTCTCCCCTTCGGAGAAAATGAGTACGGATACTCCGTAGTCTGGGTGGTATCGCCCACGCGACTGACAGCTGGAGAAGGGCGCCGCTCCACAAATTATCCTTCTCCGGGTTCTCCAGATTTTCTTCTCCAACGACAGTCAGTGCGGTAGGCCAAGCTTTGGATCATCTTTTCTCGCTAATCACCCTCGGGAAAGCGCAAAGGCACGTCCACTTGCTGACTGCTAACCTGCTCTGCCGTCACTGAGATACATATCCAAGGCGGCTCCCTCTCAGAGTCGCAAAGGCTGCTCTGCCACCACTATCGTCGCCTTGTCGGCCTACCGCGCGAGAAAACACTACGTCACCCGTCAGTGAGGGTGCAAGCAAGGACCAGATGGTGGTTGCTGTCTGTTATTTACGATAAGATTCCCCTCTCGTCCGAGGGACTTCCAAGGTTCGGACCGAAGGGCTTGCGTGGCTGCCCCTCAGTTAACGTCACGATACGAGACATCATAAACTCTACAGCATGTGAGACGCCTGCGAGACGCCTGCGGGCTGTGTGTGCGGTAAAGACGGTCGGTATTTTCTAATCAACAGGCACTCTCCAAAATCATCATCAGTCCACACTCTAAGCGATCGGCCGGGGCCGAGTTGGCCTCCAAGTTCGAAATCAACAATAATCCAAGTCGTCACATGCACGTGACGCGGCAAAGAACGGAACTCAGATCGATTTGTCATCGATCGCTTAATTTTGCGACCCTCTTCAGTAGAGCTTGTGCTCGAGCGTCATCTCGCTCTCGGGCTCGAGACCGACGCACGCGCGGAAGATGTTGGTCAGCGCCGCGCGCTGCTTGCTCAGCGCGTTGACGACCGGGGTCCCGGGCGGCGTCAACGGCGCCTTGAGCATGTAGCTCAGGATGCTCAGCACGCTGTGGAAGCCCTTGAAGTCCTTGGTCGCCGCGCCGTCCGTCGACGTCGCCTTCCACTGGATGCGCGTCATCATCTCGGCGACGAGCACGAGGTCGATGATGAGCGGCGACGCCAGCAGCGAGTCCTCGCACACGTTGAACATGGAGATGGTCTGGTGCCCGCCCATGAAGATCTCGGCATAGTACTCGTCGAGCGCGCGCTTGTTGTCGCCCACGGCTGGCATGTACTTGATGACGACAGTGTGGTCTGGGTGCTCGCCCTCCTTGTACAGCACCGAGTTGGCCTCGACCATGTCGTCGACCACGTTGGACTTGGAGATCTCCTTGGATCGGAACTGCTTCTGCGAGCTGAGGTTCTTGCCGTCGTTGTTGCCCAGGTGGTTATAGCTCGCGATGGACGTCAGTTTGATGCCCGCATTGATGAGGAAATCGACGAGCGCCGACTTCATCTTGGTCTGGCCCGACTTGAAGTCGTCGCCGCCAATGAAGGACCCGTGCCTCTCGGCCAGCTCGATGGCGCCCGGCACAAACGTGTTCTGCGGCGACCCGTTGATGAAGGGGACGCCCTCGAGGGTGCAGGCGACGGAGAAGACGGTCGAGGGCGAGACCTCCTCGTGGCCTGCCTCGATGGCCCTGAGCAGGTTGTCAGCGGTGTCGTTGACGCCCGGGATGATGTCGGCGTAGCGCTCCGTGTTCGCGGTCCACTGTACAATGACCTTGTCGAGGCCGTTGGCCTCCTTGAAGTCGCTGTCTCGCGTCAGCAACCTCCTGTCTCTCTCATCACAATGCACGCACACACGAAAGCCTTACCGAATGTCCTTGCGAATCTGCTCGACGTGCGCCGTGCAGGCCTTGCTTCCGGGGATCAGATTGTCGGCCCTGTCCTCCTGGTTGGCGGCGATGAAGTCAGGGTAATAGATGCTCGGCAGCGGCACCATCTCGGCCATCTCCTTCCTGACCTGTGCCTTGAGCGTGGGCTCGAGCACCTGGGCGCGGTCCATGGCGGCAGCCAGGTTCATGCCGCTGATGTCCCAGCCGCCGATGGCGAGGTCATTGGGGTGGACCATGGGCAGCAGGTCATGGAAGGGGATGTTGACGTCCCTCGCCGTGTCGGCGTCGGTGCCCAGCTTGACGGTAGACCCCATGATGACGGAGCCGTAGTAGTTGGCGGCCCGGGCGCCCTCGCGGGTGTCCCACTCGAGGCCGCGGCGGTTGGCGAGGATGCCAGCGGTGACGGTGGTGCCGTTATTGCCGCCCCAGCCGACAAGCATCATGCCGACGCGGGGCACCTTGCGGTCCGTCTTGAACTCGTAGACGGTCTCGGTGGGCGTGGCGATGTACTTGCCGGCGGCGTCCTTGGTGACCTTTGTGGTGCGGTAGGTGTACTTTGACAGGATCTCGGTGTCAGTGTAGACGACGTTGGGGGAATTGACGGTGAAGAGCTCGTGGTGCTGCTGGTTAGTGATAGCGGCGCCGTTGCCGTTGCGGTCGGGGGGGGGTCCATCTCCGTGCGCGGAGCCCGAGTCGACCTCTGCATGGGGAGCCATGGCTTCTTGAGATTTCAGAGGTGGCGCGGGTCGGGGGGGGGGGGGGGGGGTAGAGGCGTGCGGTTTGTTCAGGGTTCAGTTGAAATTTTGGGCTTGCTTGCGTGGTTTGGCAAGATCTCTAGAGATCTTTGGCCGAGTCCGCTGAACCTCCGGGGGAGGCGGAACAGCGGGCTCCTGCGAACGGGTGATGGACCCTGGGCGCGCGTGGGTGTCAGCATTTCTTGTTCCGTTTGTGTGTGTGTGACGCCGCCCGCGGAGGTTCGAAGACGAGGACACGTTGGTGAGGGTGACTTACGAGTTGAGGAGGTTGGAAAACGTCTTGACGACGGGGTGATCGCGACTCGTAAGTGCGATCAGACGAAGGTTTGGGGTTCTGGTAGTGGGTGTGGTTTTGTTGGAGAGTGAGACTATCCTCAATTTCCTTGGCTAGATAGACTTTGTTTCTGGATAGATAAAAGAAGAGAGTAAAGGAAAAGAAAGAAGGGCATTGGGGGGAGGGGAGTATGGTTCAAATAGTTCGTCCAAAGAGACAGTGCCAAGGCCGAAGGGGGGGGAGGGGGTGACCGTTCGGAACACTGGGGATGGGTGAGAAGTCAAACAAGGTACCCAGGCTAGATAGGTAACTAGCCATCTGCGGGACGAAGTGAACCTGGAGCTATGCCACGTCGGAACCCACTAGTCGTCCGTCGTCGTCGTTGGGGGGAGGGGCGGTGAGACGGACGGACGGGTTCGCGTTGCGGAGAGTGACAGGACCACTGGCACGGCTCTGGCGGGTGGTGGGTCCTTGTGCAGCTCGGCTCCCCGGGATGCATGCAAATGCAAATGGCGACAGATGAAGGATCCCAAGGGCCTTTGCTATGCGCGCAGTCGTATGCTGTTTAATCTGGGCGGCAGTGGGGGGGGGAGGGGGGGGGCTCGGAAGGACTCGTGTGCGCCGGGGGCCTTTTGAAGACGTAAGAGAGACGCATACACAGACATTCATATGAAGCGGCCCTGTCACATGCCGCCGTGCCCGACTTTGCCGTGCATCCCCCCTCCCCCCTGCCTTCCCCCCTCCGAGATAGTGATCAATTAGTAGACAGCTCACTCATCGCGAGCGGCGGCCCGGACGAGGAGCACCTGACACGACACATCCTTGCATGCCCGGTTCGAGCACGGCACCTATGGGTCTTGCTTCGGTTCCCAGGCGCTGCGCTGAAGCGCGTGGGTGGCCAGAGGAGGTTGTCCTCGGCCATGGGAATTGGCCTTCAACGTCGTTTAGGTGGGAAGAACCCATTCGAAAGGACACCAGCGAGGAAAGGAGGGGTCAGGCTAGGCTAGGCTGGGCTGGGCTGGGATGGGCTGCCCCAGACGTGCGCGCGTTCGAACCGGCTACCGAAGGAGGGACGGAAGGCGGGATGGAGGAGTAACGCCGTACCGGTGACGGCCGTCCGATAAGCTAATCAGCCTGGTGACCTGGTGCTCGGGCGCTCTACTGCGGTACTGCAAAGGTAGTGTGGTATATAGTATGAAGGCAGTAAGTTGCATGGGAGGGTGATTGGCGTATGGTTGTCTACTTCTCCGTCCGGCCACGTCGGGCCGGCTTCTTCGGTTCGATGTAACGGGATGATCCTTCTCTTCTACGTACGTATTGCCTATGCATCCAACTATGGCGATCCTCCCCAACGAAGATGCATCCCGAGCCGCGAATCGTCTATCCACAATCTTTGCTGCCATCCATCGCCCACCCTTCCACCTCGGCTCTTTTTTTTTTTTTTTTTTCTTCCCCTTTCCGCTCGGCTGCTGCGTTCGCAGCCGCGAAACCCCGTCCCGATTCGATGTGCGAATCGGGCGTCGGGACAGGTTGCCGCCCCGCTAGACACCGGAGAGCGAGATCTCCGCTCGGAGACGGGAAAATCGCCGACGCCGCCGGCTCCCCGGGCGCCAGCCCCGTCCCCATTGATTGCCGTACCGAAATCAATGACTACGAGAAAACAAACCCCCAACAGAAGCTCCTCTATAGTGGTATAAATCAATACCGCAATTCCGACACGAGCTGCTCCGAGCAACCCCCAACCCCTTTGCACATCGTATACCGTCTAACCACCTGCGCCTGACTGGTCTCGGTTGTTTACACGCTGAGTGGAGTGCGATATGTGGTAAGCTTCGCGCCGTCAGTAACATCAGCCCAGTAGTTCTCGGCTTGAGAAATACGGGATTTGATGTGCGCCATCACGTTCAGTCGGCAGGTTTTCCTGCAACTTCCCAATCCATGCTCTCGATGTTCACTTTGTTCGCTGAACATGCGCGCCTCTCCAGGCACGTGTGTAGTTTCCAATGCCATCTCGGCCCAAATGTTGGATGGGCCAGTGTCGCATCCCGCATCGGCCAAGAAGAAATATTCCCAGTCCCAGAGGGGAAACGTCGGACTGCTCGATGGACTCGGGGACCGCAGCTACTAGCCCTGCGACGAGAGCCCTCACGAGATCCCGCTCCCGGTTCCGCAAAGGTCCCAAAACGGACGCGAACCAGGGGTTCTTCGACTCTCTGGGAGATCAGGCATGCCAGACGACGAGCAGAGAGCATTGGTCACTTGGGAAGCTCTCGTCGACGACCTATTTCGAACCCTGACAGACACGGGCCAGGTCGCAAAGATCCTTGCTTCCTGGGACATGAACTGACACCCCAAGGCGTCGCTCGGGTTGCGGACACGCCATTCCAACCGAGAGGCCTCAAAGGATACTGTTGAAGCTACGTTGTCACGCGACCGTGAAGGCGGCCCACACCGCCGATGCCAAGACGGCCGTTGCGGAGATCATGGGCACCGAAGTCGCCCCCCCCCCCCCCCTTCCGGCGCATGTGGGGCTATTGACGACGAGCTTGAAGCGGAGTCCGAGGATGACGTCGCGGCGGGCTTCCAGCTGTGTGCTTATATTGGCGTGACGGAGTCTCTTTACAGCGAAAGGGGTGGCAGAGATCGAAGTCCCTCGGAAGACGTATCAGCAGGTGCCCATCAGAAGGGGGGGGGGGGGGGGGGTTGACGCCCTACAGGAAACTTACACGTCTGGGACGTGAAAACGACTTCTGGATTGTTCTACCTGAGTCTGTGGACGATCTGAAATGGGGGAGCCTTGTTCAAGAACGCCGTCTCGGAAATGGGCTCATGGGAATTCCTGTCGAGACTCGGCGCTGCAAGATTGAAAGTCTTTCCGTTCGCCAGCGTGAACAACAGCGAAACTAAGAGTGGAAATTGGAACAGGGGGGGCCATCGAAGATACAGACAATCACCCATGGCCTCGCCTCGGCGTCTCGTCTCAGGAGGTGGTAAAAAGCACTTGGACTTGCGCAAAATGCTCCTCCGAGTCCTTTTGGGTTCCTACGCGCGCTCTTTCCACGGCAGCTCAAAAGGGCAACATCGGCTGCTGGCCTCATTGGTCAAATTCAGACGCCTTGAGTCGGATTCATTCGGTCAAAAACCGAACTGTCAATCGGCTGGTAGAATTGAGGATTCGAGCGCTCTGTACATCCTCCGAACCTCTTCGCACCCCGAAATGCCGAAGAACACTCGACTGCCACCTGCCCCTCCTGCGTCATAGACCCCTGAGCATATAGAGTTCTTCTAGCCCTCGCCGCCCTTTTGTTGTGGCGAAACAGGCCTGAACGTTTCGATTGACGGATCATCCGGCTTGCAGGGATGGCGAGGGAGAGGGGGGGGGGGGTGTCAAACAGATTTTCCCTCCCGCGGCGATGGCGACTTATCGGCTTGCCGCGAGCTTGTCCCTCTCCCCTCCCGTAAGCCTCGTGGGGAGCCCACACGCGTCCCTGGGATCGGGTCTGGAACGGCCGGCCAGGATAGCAGGAATCAGAGTTTGGGAGGGGGTGCTGTAGTTCGCCCTGGGCTAGTTCGACCATGACGCGGTTCCCGGTGTCCAGGCGAAGTACAGTTAGCTAGCTTACCATCGAAGAACACGCTCCTCCCCTTGTTTGAAAATGAAAAAGATTTTTTTTTTTTTTTAAAAAAAAAAAAAAGAGAGAAAGAGTTGCGGACGCGTTTTGATGGCTCATATGAAGCACACGTTCAAGAACAACCCCCAACTTCATTTCATAAGCAACCGTGCGTGCTTTTTTCGAGTGATCAGCCTGGATACTTTAAGACCGGCAGTGCCTGAATGGATTACATCTAAATGGGCAGAGCTGGTGGGGAACCATCTGTGTAAGTGGTTGAAATGTGCCGTTCCGTCGGCACATGGGTTGTGGTCATTAGAGTTCGGAGGAAGGTTCAGCCTCCGACAGCAAGCACCCAGCCGGCCGGGACCCTCCCTGCTCGGGTGCTCCCTCTCGACTCCCACATTTTCCCGTTGACGAAATCCGCCATTCCGGTTAGGTTTTTCCTATGGCGCGTTTCGCACAAACCTCACTGGGAAGTACCCGAGACAGAGCAGGGGAGTAAGTCACCGCGATAAGGAAGACGAAGAAGAAGAAAAATTTCAAGAACCATAAAGCATCGTTATTTCATCCAGGCACGCCATCTATGCAGTATTACTATACATCAGGAAACCCCCCAAGCGTATCCCCAGGATATCACGTAAAAGATGAAAAGGAAACAAAATGATGAGAGCGAGCGAAGCAGCTGGTGATGCTAGACTCAAATCACCATACCCCCTATGACAGTCCGGCACGCCATGCCCCTGGCAGGCGGCGAGCTATCAAAGGGAGGTCGAGAAGAAAAAAGAAGGAAAATGTTGATTTCCTTGTTGCCTGGTAATGCCGTACTACTCCCCCGATGCCCTGCCAAAGTGCGGTGAGCACCTTAGGCCTTGAAAGCGCGTGCCTCGCGTGTCTCGGTGCGCTTGCGAAGGTTGAACTCAATGGCACGCTTGCGGGCGGTCGCCGACTGAGTGAAGGCGACGGAGCCGCCGAACGGGCCGGCGAGGGCGGCGTTGCGAAGACGGGCGACGCAGACGTTGCTGGCGCCGCCGACGTTGGCCTGGCATGTCATGCCGGCGGGCATCTTGATGGCGACGGGGAAGTCCATGGTGGAGGCGCCCGAGAGGCCGCCGAAACCGATACCGGGGACGTTCTGGGTGACCTCGGCCTTCTTGAAGGCGCTGGGATCGGTACCGCCCGAGGTGGCGTCGACGTCAGCCAGGAGAGGACCGGCACCATCTTGGTTGACCTGGTGGAAGGTCATCTTGAGGGTTCCGTCGTCAGCGGTCGTGGGCAGGCCTCCGCTGGCGGCCATGCCAGTGGCGGCCTTGACGCCGGTCTCGACGGTGCCCTTGGGGGTCTTGGAACCGCCGCCGTTCTGGCGAGCGGCGATGTTGCGACGAGCCATCATTTCCTCGTGGACGGCGCGGGCCTCCTTGGCAGCGGTCGTGTTGCCAGCAGCGCCGTCCATGAAGTTCTGGATCATCGCGGCAGCATCGACGGGACCACCGCCCTGGGTACGGCCGAGCGCGGAAGCCCTGTTGGTGCCCAACTCGCGGTCACGGATGATGGAGGTGTCGGCCTCGGAGCCACAGCGGGGAGACGCGCAATCGCGAGGTGTGCCGTCGATCACTGGGATGTATTAGTGAAGGCCTGAGCCGACGAGGCGGGGGGGGGCTTACAAGAGAGACCGGGAAGGTTGACGCCGTTAGCGCCCTGAACGCTGTCGATGACACCGTGGGCGAGGACGTTGGTGGCAGCGAAAGCCGCGAAGAGGATGGTGGAGCTGTACTTCATTTAGGCGGTTGGAAAGATGGGTGAAAGTTGATACAGAACTTGAAAAGCTGTGCGATTGCTAGGATTCGAAGGCCGTGAAAAGGAGCTCCAGGCTCGTGTCGGAAAGAGAGGCAGATGATGAAAAAGGCTAAAGGAGAAGATGAGATGCTGATGAGAGACAAAGAAGGGGAGAACTTAACGGACATGCAGGCGACTCTTATACAAGTCGTCGATACTCTGGATGGCAGGACTTAGACGACTTTGAAGACAACTGATGGGTCTTGGCAAACGATCGGGCCTAGTCCCCAAGACCAGGGCTTGCAGCCATTATGCTCCTGAGTGAATCATCCTGTTGCCCCCTTCCCACGAAAGATCAGTTGAAGCATCGATCTGACGACCAGACAACGCATGTTGTGGGCGTGAGCAAAACGACCGTTGCGAAGATGCGATTGGTTCACCACCGTTTCGAAGAGGGCGGCGGCGGGCCGGGTGAGGGAAACGCCACGCCTGGAGTCAGCCCGAGGGTGGGTTCTTCGGAAAAGAGTGCGAGTATACAATGTAGGCCTTGCGTGAACCAGACACTGGCGATCTAAGCTCCGATTGGTAGATCATTGAAAACGGCCATCGTGGGGGAGCGGCTCAGCTCCCTCTCAGGTACTAGGGCCAGCCTTGTCTCCGGTTTTTAAGGGGCTCACCGTCGATACCGGTGATGATATCGTCGGACAAGGTTTGGCGACAGGGGCGTTCCTGAGGGCAGGGGCCATCCCATCTCCACCTACAGAATCTTGTGGAACAGCACTAGGATCACATCGATCGTCAAACGTGAGGTGTGTGAGGTTGTTGGTCGGTGCAGACGAGCTTGGTTCCACTAAGCGGCTGATTGATACTGCAAGAGGGTGAGACAGGACAAAACCACCAGGATATTCGTGAATGGAATGTCTCCGCTCGTATCCAAGAACTCACGGAACGCAATTGAGTGACCCTGATGGTGTCTCCATTCTCCGCTAGTGGAATAACGGCAAGGCCATTCATCCCCTTTTGGGGGTGTAAGGGCTGCGGGCCTCTCGACACGACGATCTCAAGAAGCCGAGACGGCGGCAAATTTCTCCATGGTAAAGTTTGACTGCACTTTTGCCATGTGTCCTACTCCTTACTCCTTACGGATGCTTCATAGCAAGAGGCTCATAATAATCTTAGACCCGTTGTTGAAATGCACGAGAGACGCGGACCACGGCTGACATGGCTTGGCAAAAGCAGCAGGCGGGATGAAAGGTCAGCGACCCTACGTCGTCCCGAGTCGCGTCGTAACAAGCCTTCGACAAGGCGGTTGACAGTCCTTGGCGAAATCCTGGGCATCGGAGAACAAAACTCGGGCTTCGGAGGCCTTCCCACGTTTCGTCGCTACGCGCACGGTTGTTTGGCCCCTTCGCAGCTCTAAATACGAAAATAGTGGGTGGCCCGGCGAGGCGGCCGAGGGAAGAGGAAAGAGAGGATCTGCCGGCGATTCCGCTCCAAGAAGCAAGCTTAACCAAAACGGGGTATGCTGATCCTCGGGTGTCTTGTCCTGAGGGCTGTACAGAGAGAGACCACTAAGCCCCCTCCCTTCCGCGACCAGGTGAGGCGGATTCTGCAGCTTCGATGGGCCGCAACCAGAGTTCGTTTTTTCGGATGATCCCCGATTTTTTGACTTGGGGTGTTCAATCTGTTGTCTCAGGAATTTGTCACCATAGCATGCCCAACGGGATGCAAGACATTTCTGCCATGTTAGCTGCGCCATAGGCAGGTTCCATCCTCGCGTTCGACTTCAAGAGAAAGACGGCTTTTCTTCGCAGATGAATAGTGCAGAAGCCGATGGTGATCGAAGCGAAGCCAGAGGTAGGCAAGATGATAGGTTTATGATATCATGTCGGGAGTCTCACAGGTGAGGTCCAAGGCCAAATCATCCACTCAAACCGGCCTGCAGTGCTGCACGAGTAAGCCAAGTAACCACCTGTCCAGTTTCGCTGCGGTCAAGGTAGTCAGGGATCCTGTCCAAAACACTGTCTGGGGGTGTAAGGACCGAACACCGCATCCTAGCTATGAGGCAGAGAAGCGTCACTACCCATGTGAGACGTCTTTCAACCGCACAACACTCTCCATCGATCTGATTGCAACGCAGAGAACTGCGGCAGCGCGTTTATCGCTAAACAAGCGGGACGATATCAGTTCAACCGTTGCCGGGGTATGGTCTAGACGACCCGAGGTTTAGCTTTCAGAGTCGCATGTTGTGCCTTCACCAGAAGAAGACCGAGTTGCTGCGATATTGAATAGTCAAACGAGACGGAATATGTGCATTCAAAGGATGATGTGCGCCGATCCGGCAGATTTCCCGACGATTGCTTGGTGCTAGTCGCAGCGTGGAGCTACCAACAGGTTTCCGGATGAAGCGAGGATAAGCTGGACGGAAACTATTTGTGAAGATGAGCTGGGGAAGAAGGGCTCGGTTGGCCTTTCCCAAGTCGAATGCACCCCGAAGCGAAGTGTAGCTTTGGATGATGACGGATGTTGTTGTCGTGATGGAGAGTTGTAGTGATGCGCAGGTCTGTCTCTCTCCCAACCCTCGTGACATTGAGTTTTGGAGAAGGATGACATTTATTTCCAACATCTGAAAAGGGCAGGAGCAGTTGCAGGTGGCACCCGACCAGTTGCTGCCCAGATAGAATCACGGCTCCTGGGCGACTAATCGTTTTGAAGGCAAGTGCGACTAGATAACTGCCGGTACCTACCTAGCATCCAAGTACATATGCAATTGGTTGACTGCTAGCGCCTTTTCTGTCCTCTGCATCCATCTGCCGGTTCCTGATGACCGGCCACCAGGTGGCAACGCCTTTTGCGACCGTCATTCGTCAACGTCCCTTGTTTCACTTTGAACATCTCTAGCGGCCGGCTTCCTTCACTTCTTCACCTCAACCAACCCGACTCCTCTCGCATCACAGTCCCCTGACAATATCTGGTGTGGCGCATGATCTTCGACGCGCCCAAGACTCCCGAGGAACCTATCACCGTTGGTTGAGAGGAAGCCCATAAGGGCTTGGCATATCAAGCAGTACTACCTACATCCTAGCGTCAGAGATCAATAAGTCTCGCCTTTTAACCTCGTGGATAAGAAACAAGTGTTTTTGTGCCTGATGCTGCTTGGAAAGCCTGACGACCCGACAAATGAGGCGAGGCCGCCTGCTTAGACAGCAATTTCACGTCCGCCACAGTCGCTTTTCTATCACATCTCCCACCTGCGGTCCAATCGTCCAACCACGAGACGCTGCCCCAATGACAAAGGGGCAAGGGGTCTTGGCTACCATCGCTCACATGCTGCATGTTTCCATTACGAGGGGTCACTCGCCCCTGGGCCAACGAATATTGCCAGCAAAATCGGCATAGTGACTCCCCAACATTTCTCGTCCAAGATGCACACGGCTGCTCGATCGCACACATGATTCGTTAGTTCGGCCTATATGTCACTTTAAACTATAAACAGGTTCCCGGCAGCTGTAAGCTGGGCGGCTTTCTCTCCATCTAGTTATATAGTTGCTCTTTTCGCTGCTGCGCTCGTCAAGATGATACCCGTGCCTGCCATCCCATCGCCCCTGACCGTTCCTTGCCATGTTGCGAGCTGCTCGTTTTGTGTCCGTATTGGCGGGCATCGCCGCCGCTTGTTGCAACGGGAATGATGCCCTCTGCGAGAAGAAGTATTCCGACGTGACCTTCGTTGGATCCCACAACAGCGCCTTTGTCGGCATCACGCCCGCCCATAACCAATATGTATCGGTGACGGACCAGCTCGACATGGGCGTGCGGTTTCTCCAGGCCCAGACCCAGAATAAAAACGGCCAAATCCAGATGTGCCACACGACTTGCGTCTTGCTGGATTCGGGATCGCTATCCGAGTACCTCGGGGATATCACCTCTTGGATCGAGGCCCATCCGCGAGATGTGGTCACCTTACTTCTCACCAATATCGATGCGATGCCCGTCACGCAGTTTGGCGACACGTTCAGAGACACGGGTCTGGAAAAGTACGTCTTCAGGCCCAAGGAGAAGGTGGCCCTCGACCAGTGGCCGACGCTCCAGGAACTCATCGATGATGGCACGAGACTGGTTGTGTTCATGGGTAATTTGTGTTCCTGTGCCTTCGAGACTCATCAAGTTGCGGGCTGACGGTGACAGACTATCACTCCGACACGAGCAAGGTGGACTACATCCTCGACGAGTTCCAGTACTACTGGGAGACGCCGTTTGGCGAGACCAACGCAGACTTTCCAAATTGCAACATCGACCGGCCGCAGGGTGTCGACCCCAACGGCTACATGTACCTGGTCAACCACTTTCTCAACATTGAGCTGTTCGCGGGCATCAAGATCCCGGACCAATTCAATGCGCCAAAGACGAACTCGTTGCAGTCCATCGACAAGCAGGTCAACTTGTGCAGAGGGAAGTGGGGACGGACACCGAACGTCGTTCTGGTAAGTCGACCCATTTTCCAATACCGAGCTAAGAGCGTCAGCTCGGATGGGTCATCTTTGGGGAGCTGACCTGAAGGGAACAAAAGCTTGACTGGATCGACATCGGCGAAGCGATCAAGGCACAGAACCAATACAACGCCTGAGAAGTTGCCTTCCATACACGGAATGCGGTAGGGACACGACACGTTATCTCAAAAATAGAGATAGCTATTCCTTCCTGTAAAGGCGAGAGGCGCAGGCATCCAGCGGTGCCAAGAGAAGGGTGATAGGTCAGCTGGCCCTGCGGCCACGATCCGCGGGTTTCCGCCGCGAGAAAGTCACACTGAAAGGGCTACAGGGACGATTCCGGGCCGAGAAATGAATATGCTGTTCGCCTAATGTAAGGCAGGGATAAACAGCTGAGTAGATCGGGTGTGAGCGAAGCCACTCTTCGGTGACCCAATCAGGCATAGGGGGGGTTCCTGGCTTTGGCTGACAGCGGACGGGAGTGGGAGCAACTCGCGTGCATTTTTAGTCACCACCCATTAATACCAATACCACCTCAATACCAAGCCTTTTTATGGCAGCCTGCTCTCTTCTTCCGTTGTCGCTACTCTCCCACTTTGCTGCGCATTCATAACCGTCGTATCGCGTGCCCGTACTTTATCCCTTGGATATATAGCCATGGCTCAAAACTCATAACGACGACTCGTCCAAGAGTCTTATCCCGCCATCTTGCCATTCAATAACGACATTTGGCGCATCAGACTCCCCATAGCCCCTCAAATGCGCGGCTCGCATCAGCCATCTCATCCTACCGCCATGGAGAAAGCCTGTGCATGGCTTGCTGGCGGTGACTACGAGGACTTTGTTAGGTCTCTCTCCTTTATGGACCCCCGCCTGCGGCAGCGAGACCCCAAGGCCCAGACCCAGCGTATCCCGTTTACAGACGACGGCGCCAGGGTTGTCAAGCTCAGCCTCGAGAACGGCACGTTCGCCAGGACGGCAGAGTTTGACGAGCCCGCCGGTCTAGAAGCGCACTTCCGCAGTACGGCGTCGCTGCGCGGCCGGCGGGATATCTACGTCGTGGAGGGACTCGGTCCAGGCTTCGCCGGCGTGCTCGGCGAGCGCTTCTCGCTCCACCCGTCATTCTTTGTGGAGCACGAGCGCGTCGTCGTGCATAGCCTCAACTGGATGGGCGAGAGCGATGGCGTACAGCTGCCGTCTGTCATCCAGAGCCGGGGCCACCTGGAGATGAAGTACTATGAGGTCGTGGCGTTTGACAGGAAGCCGACAAGCTTCCGCTGGGTGTGTGCTGCTACCGGCAGACACATCGGGGTATCTCGTGACTTCAAATGGGACAACTCGCCTGATGAGGTGGGGAATTATTTGAATGTGGGTGTTGTCAGGAGGAAGTGCGGTGTGTGGTCGAGAAGGACTGAAGGAGGTGGTTGGGACTGTGAGCAATCCCCATCCCGAGTCTTTGCCCATTGGCTAATGGTCTCCAGGTCTCGTGCTCTGTGACCCTCCAGTGAAAAGCGTCCGGACGGGGGACGAATACAAAAGGGAGTATCCTGTCAAGGCCTGCCCTTACCAAGGCGGCTATCTCGACTTCGTCCCCGAAGAGGAGCAGATCCGTGTTGCCAGAGAAGGCCGCTACTGCGGGCCTCCGCGGATCTCGATGCTCGAGGATCTCTCCTTCTACCTCGAAACCCACTCCCGGCTGGTGGACATTGCGGAGCCCGAGTCGGTCAACGTCTTTGTCAAGAAGATTGTTGCCTCGCACTTCCTCAAGCAGAGCGAACACCTGCGTGCAACCCTCTCGGCGGTGCAGCGCGGCCTCACGCGCAAGCAGGACCTCGCCAAGATGCCGATGAACAAGGTCGAGGCCCTCTGGAGCGACATGCAGGGCTGGGAGCGGCGGACGGGGGAGTACCTCGAGGACCTCGAGGGCATTATGCTCCAACTCGGCATCCCGCTCTCGCACCCGGTGCCGCCGGCACTGGTTAACATGCCGCCAGCGCGGCCCGGCGCGCTCACGGCCGAGACCATTGCGTGGCAGGACTGCACGGCCGACTTCCAGTTTCTCTACCTCCGGTTCCGGGAGCTGCGGCACCGCACGGAGACGCTCAACGCGGCGGTGACGGGACTGGCGAGCATCACGGGGAACAGGCAGGGGTACAAGGAGCAGCAGCGGAGCATCCGCGAGGCCAAAAGCACCAAGGCGGTGACGCTTCTGGGGCTGGTGTTCGTCCCGCTGGCGTACACGTGCTCGTTGTTTGGGATGGAGGTTCCGTACGGCCCGGGAGGCGAGTATTTCTGGATCTACTTCGTCACGTCGGCGCCGCTGATCCTGGTGGTATTGCTGGGGTACTACATCCTGGATTTTGGTTACAATGATGATGGCAGAGCTTGGTCTGTGGTTACATTTAACAAGTCTATCAATGAAAGGCTATACAGATTGAAGCGTCAGGATACCGAAGAAATTATCCGGGATACGAGTAGAATAGAGATGTCAAAGTTAGAAGCGTGCCAGTAGACTCAGTATAAGTACACTGAAGCTACAGCTGTTTAGTGACTAAGGAGCTGTGTCGATAAGAGCTGTTGTGGTGCGGGCCCGCGTCGGTTAAGTGCTGCTTATCGGCGTGTTTAGTGGCGTCGCGGTGCGCGATAAGCTTCCGCCCCGCCGTATCTGAACACCAACACGTCGCGTCTACCAGACGCGTCAAAGAGCTCTTAATTGACCTGCACTCCACCGTTCACCTCTCAACTCTGCCTCAACATCCTTCACGTAGTATTGGCACTCTCAGTGACCATTAACCTTGGACCAACTCTTTCTACTCCTTTCATGTTTTGATACCCATCGTTGTTCCTGTTTTTTCTTAATTATAACCCACAATGGCTTCAGAAAACCCAGCGCCGCGCTCACCCAGTGCAAGCCCAGCGCCAGAGATGATGCTCTCACCGAAATCACGAATCGAGGCCCGTCTGGCTGCCCTCGACACAAGTTCCGAGGATGACGAGCCCAAGCAGGCCGGCCGCAAGAGCAAATCACCTCCGGCGCGTATCCAGGACAGCGACTCGGAAGAAGAAGTCTTCTACCGCCCCAGAGGACGCCTCGCCGCCCAGCTTCAGGGCGGCACTCAACCAGCAGATTCAGACGACGAACCCGAGACCTTCCTCGACCGTATTCAGAAACGACTAGGATCTTCTGGCGAAGACGAGGAACAAGACGCAGAGGATACAGCCATGGGAGATGTAGAAGACGAAGACGACGTTCCCGTAGCACCACGAAGGCTGCAAAGGAAGCCCGTTAGAGAAACCACACCACCGCCAACCCAGAACCCCGTGGCGCAGTCTAGTCCTGGACTCTTCGTGTCTCCCGACCACCAATCACCGATAAAGTCTGCCAACTTGGCAGCGGCCGACGACGGCTCCGACTCCGACGCGTCGCTCCCCTCGTTGACCAAGAGCGCCAGATTCCAGGCCCTCGTTGAGCGCAAGCGACAAGAGAGACTGGCCCGTGAGGCGGAAGAGGAGAAGAAGCGCGCCGAGCGCATGGAGCGACAGCAGACCACCAACGTCGACCTCTTTGACGACGACGACGCCGGTAATGTCTCCGACACCGACGATGAGGACGGCAGGAAGCTTAGCCAAGCCGCAAGGCCAGCAAGGAAGGCTGGCAAGAAGGCCGTTGAAGAGATGCAGCGCGAGACGCAGCGCATGGCGCGTAACATGCAGCTTGCTCACGAGGCCAAGACGAGAAAGAAGTTCACAAAAGCAGACTTCCTCCAGCGCTTCAACTTCGGAGCCTTGGCGAAGTCCGACCCCAAGACTTCGAGCTCGAGCCGTCCGACTACGCCGATCTCGGCTCACCAGACCGACGCCGAAATGAAGGACCCCGAGACACCCCCTAGTTCTCCGCCCATTGCGAACAACATGTCTCCTGCCAAGGTCCAGGAAACTACAGCCGCCGTTCCACTGCCCGGTGCCTCTGATCCTGATGAGTTCTCCCTTGACGATCTTTTCGAGGCATCGCGGAGACTAGACAAGGGAAAAGAAACGGCCGTTGCGTCTCCCCAACAGACCCTCGGCAAAGACGGCAAGTCTAAACGCCGTGTCCGTATCAAATTGCCTACCATTTCAGCAAACCAAGCATTCATCGACCTTGACGACGACGACGGCAATGATTTGGAGATTACTGGCGGGAAGAAAAGCAAGCTTGACGCCTTGTTCAGCAGGGTTCCTGACAGAAAAGCCAAGGAATCAAATTCTCTTCATGCCCTGCGCCGCCTCGCTCAAGTCGGTTCACCCACCAAGGAGAGGAAGCGAAAGTACGAGAAGCCTACCATCACGGTTGGCCAGCTACAACTCAACTTGCAGCAACGAGCGCGCCAGCAAGCCAAGATTGAGCGCGAGAAGCGTCTAGAGTACCTCAAGTCGAAGGGTATCGTTATCCAGACTGCAGAAGAACGCGAACGCGAGATGCAGGAGGTTGAGGATATTGTCACCCGGGCTAGGAGAGAAGCCGAGGAGATTATGGAGCGTGAGCGTCAAGCCGCCAAGAAAGAAAAGAAGGAAAAGAGGAAGAACGGGGAGCTTGACGCCTGGGATGACAGTGACGACGAGGAGTACGAAGCCTCCGATGAGGAAGCGGAAGGAGGTGCTGCAGTAGAACTCGAGCTCTCTGGTTCTGAAGACGAGGAGGCCGAAGATGACGACGCTTCTGACGCGGAGGTTGAAGGCGTCGCTCTGTTCGACGACGAGGCCGACGACGATAACTCGGAGCACCCTGAAGCTGATGTCGAAGCTCCTATGAAGGATGACAACGAGTCCGATGACGACTTGGGCCTCCCCACAAGAAACACCCGTCGCTCGAAGAAGTCCCAGGTCATTTCCGACGATGAGGATGAGGACAGGGTCGAGGCGACGCCCAGACCAAAGACTGCGACTCAGCGCTCGCCTATTGCACCCAACACCAAGTCGCCTGCTGTCCCTACTTCAGTCCTGCGTTCTGCAAAGAAGACCTTCATCCCTGGACTTCCCGTCACGGGAGCAGCTGGGCTAGGCCTCACCCAGATCTTTGCTGGCACTATGGACGACAGCCAAGAAGCTCCTGGCACCGCGTTCTCTCAGTCGCCTATGCCGGACTTCGATAGCCTCCCTGACTCCAATCTCATTGGCCTCACTCAACGGCATGACAGCATGATCCTCGACAGCCAGATCGGTGACACGCAGAGAGCTGAGACGCAGCAGGACTCTGCGGAGGGCGTGCACCTTCACTTTTCCCAGTCCCAGGTCCATGCTTTCGATAGTCTAGTGCGCGACGAGGGGTCTACTCAGATCTCGATCGACGCTACTCAGGACAATGGTCCGCAAAACTACACGCCTCTGAGACAACGCTTCGTCGAGCCTCCTATGTCCACTGTTGGAACTGTGGTTCTCGATAACGAAGCGGAAGCCGACTCGGTACAGGACTCGCCTCTCGTTCGTAGAGGTAAACTGCGCCGTAAGATTGACGTCGCGGCTGCGGTTGGTCATGATGAGGACGAGGACCCCAGAGCCAGTCCCGAGATGGACGAATTCGGCTTTAGGACAACTGCCTTTAACGTCATGAAGGAGGCTGTTGAAAAGCAGAAGAAGCTCAGAAAAGCGGAGGACTACAACCGCAAGAAGAGCAAGGCCAAGGAGATGGTCGAGGACCAGGCCGAGGAGTCTGAAGACGAATATGCCGGTCTGGGAGGCGTAGACGGCGAGGACAGCGATGATGACGATGCTGCCTCTGTCAAGGAAATGATTGACGACGAGGGCGGTATGACTGCTGACGATGAGCGCAAGCTCGCTGCTCTTTATGCGTAAGTGAACATACAGCTACATATACAAGCCGTCATACTAACGACTCCTAGCGAGCGTGAGCGTGCAAACGATGAGAAGATGGTAGACAAGCTGTTCCACGACGTCACAACGGGCATGCTCCGCCGCAAGCGCGGCGCTGACTACGACCTCTCAGATTCGGATGATGATGGTGAGGCCCGAAGGCGGCTGAAGCGCCGTCAGTTCCAGAAGATGCAACAGGCCCTCTTCACCGATGAGCGCATCAAGAAGATTGCCGAGAAGCCTGGCAACCAGGCCTTCCTCCGCACTCTCGAGGACCGCGACAGCGACGAAGAGATGGATTTCCTCGACTTCGCGCCGGAGCCGATGGAGACGGAGGACTCTCAGTCTCAAGAGCAACAGCAACAAACGGTGCCGGACAGCCAGCCCACGGCGCAGCGACAGCCTGTCGGCACCGACGCGGCCAACAGGCCGCCCGCCAACATGCGCAGGACCAAGGACGGTAAGAGACCCGCCACCCTAGGCGAGATCCGCGAGTCCGTATCGAGCCTGCTCGAGGACATGAACGAGGTCATCCCAGCGACGGATCCATATTCGGACAGTGAGCCTGATGACGAGGATGCCCGACCGTCGTCGTCACGGAGCAATAAGGAGAACCACTCCCCAGGCAAGAACCCTCGCCGCACCGGGTTCCGCCACCAGGTCGTCGACCGGCTCACCCTCAAACGCCAGTCCTCGTCCACGATGTCCACGACATCCGCCGCCGTCGCTTTCGCGATGCCCAACGCTACCGCGCCTTTAGGCGGCAGCTTCAAGACCCCGACGCTGCTCCGACGCGCGACGACCAACTCCTCGGTCCTGAGCTCGCAAGGCAGCGGCGCAGGCGGTGCGTCGGGCGTCGCGCCCTCGGCCTTTTCCTCCCGCGGCGGGGGCGGTGGCGGCTTCGGCGATGACGGCAAGATCAAGAAGAATGCGAGCAAGCGGTCCGGCGTTAGCGCACTGGCGAGAGAGAACGAGCGCCGCGCGGCGGTCCAGGAGAGCGAGAAGCGCCGGGAGGCGAAGAAGTGGAAGGGCGCGGAGAGGCGGCACCAGGCCGTCAACGGCCTCTTTGGGGCGGGCAAATTTGAGTGAGTAAACGGCCCCGCCGGTTTGTATAGGGGGCTACGCTGGTTCGCGTTATCAGGAATTGGTATAAGACGGTTTCTAGTCAAAAGGCGTTGGGAAAAAAACATGGACTGAACCCGGGCAGGGACGAGTTTTTGGTGCGCATTTTCGGCGTTGCTGGCGGATGTGAGATTTTGTATCCTCTTTTACCCGCGGTAGCCTGATGAATTACAACTTTGTCTTTATTTCGATCAACGACCCTCTGCGGAATAGTTGCCGTGTGGCTAAACTTGCGCGGTGAGACCCCGCCTAGCCATAGTACCGGACGCCGGCTCGTCAAAGGCGAGAAGGGTGCGAGGCATGAACAACTTTTCTTCATCTGATAGTGCTGCTAGTATATCCGTAGGTCCACCGCCAAACGACATGTCCGTAGAGTAGCCAGAGGCTGTGCGTCTTCCCGCTGACCGTCCACCCATACCTCTCCCCCGTGCCACTCGTGTTGAGGCGAGCCGGGCATGACTCTACCAGCCGATGCCGAGTACTTGCCGCCACCCCGTCCACCGAAAAACCAGAACTCTTGCGTCAAGCGAGGACGACAAGCCCGACAATGATGACTGGCGCGTCATCTATTTCTTCTTCTGACCGGCGACAACGGTGATCTCCTTGGGCAGCTCGGCGACATAGGGCAGGAACTCGGGCTGGCCGGGGATGTACTTGCGCAGCACCTCGGGGACCTTGAGGCCGTCGGGGGTCTGGTAGTTTTCCATAATGCAGCAGAGGGTACGCTCAGTGGCGCAGAGGGTCTACAGGGATGGTGAGGGTTTTGTCAGCTCTCACACTCGATGATGTTTCCAATAGGAAGCACGCCCAGAGGCGGGGGACTTACGGCGTTGAGGGCGTGTACGTAGTCCTTGCGTCCAGCACCAGGGGCCTTGAAGCGGCAGGTTAGCTCTCGCGCTTTGATTCGAGACAGACCGGGGGTTGTGTAAGGCTTACTTCCTTGGCCTTCTTCACACCGTAGCGAACTTCGAGCTCGCGGGTCTGGTAGTCCGTGCCTGTTCTCGTCAGCTTGCGATGAAATCGGTTGGCATGAAAACGGGACTTACAGTTGGAGCAAGAGACCAGCTCCTTGTACTCCTGCTGAAAGGGGAACCACGCCTCCAAGTCGTACTTCTTGGCGGCGGCGTTGTTCCTGAGCGTGTTAGTACCTCCCTGCGAATGTATGGTTGTGTTGATATCTACTCACAGAGCTCCAGAGACAATGGAGACGACCCTAATATCACAAAGTCAGTCTGTCGGTATCGTTATTCCGGCTTCGTAGCCACTCACCGGTAGGGCAAACCCAGGCTCTTGTAGAACTCTTCGGAGGCAGCAATCATCTCGTCAAAGTGCTTCCAGCTCTCCTCGGCTTTGCAGAAGACGAATTGCTCGATCTTCTCGAACTGGTGCACACGGAATAGACCCCAGGCCTCCTTGCCGCTGTTTGACATCTGGTTAGTCTCGCGCATGCGCACACATCAAGCAGAGGATATCGACATACTGCTTGCCAGCCTCCTTGCGGAAGCATGTGCTATAACCGGCGTACTTGATGGGTAGCTGACTAGCCTGAAGCCACTCCTCACTGTGCAGGGCGGACAGGGGCTGCTCGGAAGTGGCAATGAGATACTTCTCCTCGCCGTCACCTGTCACCTTGTACCTAAGATATGTCAGCATACAGCCTGGAAGTACCAAGCTTTCTATTTTTCCTTACAGCTCCTCGTCAAACTGCTCAAGCTGGGCAGTCTTGGCCATCTGGTTGCGGTTCATGAAGAAGGGGGGCTGGTTGGGCGTGTAGCCCTTGTTGAAGAGGAACTCGAGACCATAGTTGATGAGCGCCTGGTTGCTGTTCGTGCCATGTCAGTAGTCCATATTCTACCACACGCCGGTTGTGGCCCGAAAACATACAGAAACAGTCCGTATCCGGTCAGGCAGTAACCTCTGTGACCGACAAGCTTGATTGCACGCTCAGAGTCGTAGCCCGCCAGGCGGGTGACCACCTGATGGTGGGAAAGCGTCTGCTCTGTCTTGGCCCCAAGACCAGCCTCGGGCTCCCACTTGCGCTCCGTGACGTTGTTGTCCTCGTTATCGCTGACAGGGACGGAATCGTGGACGTAATTACCAATGCTCTTGGCCTTTGCGTTGAGCGCAACGAGCTTCGCAGCCGCTTCATCCTCCTTGTCCTTCTTCTGCTTCTGCAGGTCCTCCTTCTTCTTCAGCAAGTCGTCGGCATTCTCCTTGTTCTTCTTCTTCATGCCGATCTCCTTTTGCACGGCGTTGATTTCGCTGCCGAACTGCGTCGCCGCGTACTGGGTCTTGCGGTGGTCTGTTTCGGTCCGAAAGATGCGTTGGTTAGCGCACGTTGTTTCTGTCGAGCGGTACCTCTAGAGGCGCCGGAGGGGAGCGATTGAGGGTCCGTACCATCCCACAGAGCGATTACCTCGTCGACAATCTCGACGGGCGCATGACGACGGCGCTGGGACTCGCGGATCTTGTCCGGGTCGCCGCCGCGCTCCTTGATGAAGTCTTGAAGGTCGAGCATAGTGATGGTTTTTTTCGGTAGGCAGACGCGAGGTCGACAGGGCGAGCTATGTAATCCCAAGTCATTAATCAAGGAAAACGGGCACGGACTCTAGAACGGCGATTCTTACTCGTTCCTTGGGACTGTGGGAAGGGATTGCAGCTGTTTCGGCGTGACTACCTAGGTATCTCGGTGACTCAGGGACGACTTGACGGTGGTAAATTGTCGTTGCTGAGTGGTGGGGTAGTTTGGCGGGGGCGGGGCTGAGGCGGTCAAACGCAAGGATCTCTCTCGCTCTCACACCAGCAACAACACCTTCTCTCCTCTAGGCACGCATGCAACACATTCCATCCATCACCGAAAACGCGATATGTAACGAGAGAAACTGCAGTCGAGGCTGGGTCATACGAATGCCGCCCATTGCTACCCGCAAATGTCATTTCCCACCACACCGAGTGTTTGACTATTGTACAGTTCTGCCGTGATACCCATGTGAAAGTGACCCCATACCATGTTCCATATCGTGCAAAGCCTCCAAGATCATTTTCGCTGATACCCAATGTTACAAGTTGCGCCTCAGGCCTAGGCCGCCTCTTCAACTTTCGCCTTCTTAGCGGATTCATCTGTCTCGGCAGAGTCCTCGGCCTTGCGCTTGATTCCGTTGGACTCCTCACCGTTGGCCGAAACCTCAGTCGCCTTCGCTTCTACGGCAGGCTTGTCGGCAGGCTTAGGCTCATCCTTATTCTTCTTCCTGACAAGACCAGTCAGGTCCGTTGCCGTCTTCTTGGCCTCCTCAACGCGGGCTTGGGTCTGGGCTGTAGACTCGCCGAGCGCCGCGCCTAGGATGCCGCCAACGCCATCGCCACCGAGCGCAGCGTTGACATCAATAGGAGGCTTGCGGAGATCCACCAGCTACATATCGTTAGCGGCCCTGTCGAGAGAAGTAAGAAGCCGTCACTTACGCGCTGCTCCATATCCGTAATCATATCTTTAACATCGGTAATAGTAGCCCTTGTGACCTCGTTGTCCTCAGGGGATGCCATGGTCGCGAGCTCCACCTCCTTGTTCTGGAGCTTCAGTTTCGTGCTGCGAATGGCAGCCTCGAGCTCGTTAGCAGCCTCCTCGCGGAGTTTCTCGTCAAAAGGCTTGCTCTCTGCCTGCTCGCCCTCCTCTTGAGTGGTCGTGACTGAGGCGAACTCGAGCGCCAGCGACAGCTTGAAGTGCGCCTCAGCAATGATCTCGGAATCATCAGTGTACAGCTCCTTCTTGTACTTCAGCGACTTGCGTGAATCCTCAATGGCGTCAGGGTATCTAGGCAGCTGTTAGCGTCCATCGCGATCGTCAAGAATCGCTCATGCTTGCCTCTCGTTCTCCAGAGAGATCTCGGCAAGAAGATCATGCGTGTCAGCAAGACGCTCCTTGACATGCTTGATACTTAGCTTATCACCATCGAGCTGCTCTTGAGCCTTGCCGTTAGGCTCCTCCTTCTCCAATTGCTCCAGTTGACGGTTGTAGAGAACGCGTGCCATGTCCAGAACACCGAATGCCACAGCAAGGTCGTCATCCTCTTCTTCCTCTTCGCCTTCACCCTCGGCCTTCAAGACTGTTAGCTCTCGTTCGTACTCATCAAAACTTTGTCTGTCAAAATCCACGATTGGATGATCACAAACAGACCCGCGACGCCAGAGGCCAAGAGGTTTTCAGCCAGAGACCAAAACAGGGATCTAGCTTACCTCTTCGTCATCCGACTCGTCGTCAAAGTTTTCGTCGCCATCGAACTGGAAAAGAGGCTTCTTCTCTTCGACCTTGTCGACCGTCTGCGCACCGCTCGCATCATTTGCGACAATCGCAACACCCTCCTCTGTTATTCTTTGCGTGTTGGACTCGGCCGGCGCATCGGTCGGGGCAGCCTGCACAGCGGCCTTCTTGGGAGCCTTGGTCTTGGGTTTCTCGACCTTCTTCTCACTGCCGGCCTTACCTCCCAGCACATCGCTCTTGCTCTGTCCAACCTTGAAGACGCTGCGGCCGTAAAGGAATAGGATCTCGGCGTTCTTTGGATGCATTTCGCCGTTGATTTCGTCCTGTAACTCGGCCGCCTTCGTAAAGCATTCGGCAGCGTCTTCGTACTGTTTCTTGGCGTAAAGTGCAGTGCCTTTGGCTGTCAAGTCCGCAAGTGTCACCTTCTTGGAGTTGGAGTCCTCCTCCGACTCCTCACCGGCGGTGGCTGGCGTATCCTGCTGTGCGGGCGCGGGCGCATCTTGCTTGGTCTCTGGGTTTGCGACGGCCTCCACAGCTAGGACCTCGGCGACAGGGACCTCAGCGGCAGAGACCTCTGAGGGGATGGTAGCGTGATCCGTTACATCGGCCATCATGGGCAATTGAATTGTATTCGTGTGGTGATAATTGGCGAGATGGAAGACCAGGATCTCTGGTAGATGGGAACGAAGGATGGGATGGAAGGAAAGAGAAACGGCTGTCTTTGTCTGCCCGTGGTAAGACGCGAGAGCTGTAAGGAAGGCGCGTTGATTGGGGAACGAAGCTGCAGGGATAGCTTCTCTCCGGCACGTCAAACGAATACGATCCAATTAGAAACGCGGGTGTGTAAAGGAGCAATATCACTGTGCCCAACACTGTGCGCTGTGCAGTATGGTATTAATCCCATCAGTGGGGTGTCATTGTCTACCTACCTAGACATCTAGGTAATCTACATATTCGTCCTGACAAGTCCGGGACACCTAGAAATTTCATTTGTGCCTCTCGCTCTCTTGTCCTCTCATCAATCGGGCCCCTAAATGACCCAACGAAATGAAACTACAACTGCATGTTTGCAGAGGGTGTTCGGCTTGGTTGTCCCCTCAAATGTGCTGATGACCCCTTGAAGAGACTCTGCCAAATGAAAGCTTCGCTCAGCAGCAGTTCAATGTCCTTTTCCGTCCATGACTTCGTAGGCAGACTTTGCAGAAACATCATTATTTCCTGGAAATCCATCTTGACCAGCTTATCCGACCATTTGACCAAGAAAGCCGCGCAAACATACAGATGGAATTCAGAGAAACCTTGTTCCTCGGCCTGCAAATCGTCAGAAACGTGAGGCTCGAAGTGAGTAGCTGCACTTACCAAGTACGTATCCCACATCCTGATCGTGTTTCGTACACTTATCTCCCGCATCAAAAGACAGTTCATCCACCGAAAGCTGAACTGGATGAACTCCACATGCTCCTTCTCTAAATGCTTTGCCAGCCCAGCATCAATCCGAGCCGTGAGGTCGCGGAGGGCAGCAACTTGCCTTTGAATGCCTGGCTGGGCCACAATGTAATGGTCCTGGATGCCGTCAAGCAGTTTTGTCAAACACCAAAATGAGTCTGCCTCTACAGCGTCTAGCACTGGCTTCGGCAGTTGACCAGGATCCATGCCAGATTCTATATCGGAATCGGCAATGTAGGTGCTAAGAAAGACTTGCCAGAAAGGCGTCACCAAGTCGTTGATACCCTGTACATAGCCGCTGGCTGGGTGTCGCACAGCCCAAAGATATAAAATCCGCTCCAGGGACCGCTGAGTTGCTTCATAAGAATAAAGTTCAATATGAGGGTTCGTCCTTGGAACGTCGATGCTGATCTGATGCCAGATCGCCTCATCCAGGCCTCGCGCTTTTCCTGGCGGCGCAGTGCTTGAACCACCGCTTCCACCGGAAACGCTACCGCCGCGCTCGAAAGCCTGTCGCACTCCATCAAGGTACTCTTTTCGTTTCCTTTCCAGAGTAGCGACTCGCCTCTCGCTATTTGTTGGCATATAGCTCAGAAGGAGTTGCCATGTCATGGCGCGAACCTCCTGGGGCACGCCGGACCAAGCGAGCTGCCGAAGCTCCTGTAAAGGTATGGTCGAAGCCTGGAGGAGCTTTTTGAACTTGTTGATGCGAGTTATTCTGGAATTAGCGGCGTCAATTTCTTTCGGCGTCGCATTAGCGGGTACGGCGGGGTGATCGATTAGATGCAAAGCGTTTGCCGGATCTGTCGCAATCAGCACGGTCCAGTACGGCATCATGCACTCGCACTTACCCCTCAGTATCTCCTTGTACTGCGGCCGCAATATCTTCCCTTCGCTCTTCTTCGGCATCGGATAAGTCGGCGCGGGCCTTTCAATAGCAATATCCGCGCTATTCGAATATCTTCTGGTCTGCAACCCCAGTCCACCGAATGAGTCGGTCATTGGCGAAAGGCCTCCATTTGTGTCAGGCTTGTTTTGAGCGGCCATTTTGCGCGTTCGCCTCTTCATGTTGGACAGGCTAGGCAAGCCGAAGTCATCGCCGTCGTCGTCCTCATAGCCCATCATGTCCTCCTCGTCTTCGTCCGCTTTCCAGTCATCGTTCGTGTTGGAAAGGAAGTTAATGTAGCTCTTGATCGGAGGCGATGACATGCCTGATTGGGGCCGCGACGGAGGGGAAGCATCGCTGGGTCTGCCTTTGGTAGAGTGGGAGGACGGAGGGGTTTTCGGTCTAGACGAGTTGGAAAGGTTTCTATACCCTTTGGTTAGCCAGGGCTGCCTCGGACGGAGGATACGAGGGGATCGCACAACGAATCGAACTTGAGGATGTCGGCATGCGAATACGCAGCTCCAACCACCAGGTTTGTGTCGCGACCTGTTCTTTTCGGTGCGTTCTCGCGTGGGGGCGGTTTCCAAAACGGTGATGCAGAACTACCTTAAGTCAGCTTTAAGTCGCAGGCTGCAATGGCTGTCGAGGCAACGTACTCTGAGCGGTCTGCACCGCGATCAACGATTCAGGTTAGCCAAGAGTCCCCGAGCCTATGTTCAAGATCCGAGCCGCTGCCACAGCAGCACGCATCTCTAGGAGTAAATGCCGAAACCCACCAACTTGGACCATTTCCTGCTGCGGGGCAAGTTCAGCATGCAACGACGGCTTGAGACAGGAGTTGGGAAGGATATACCTGTTGCGAGGGCTTCTTCCCACTCCCTGAAGAGGAGAACATGGCGATGCTTCTTTATTGAGACCGGGTCATTGTGTGCCTTCAGAGTTGAAATGCGCCAGACCAGTCGCCCGATCTCCGAGCAAGTGACCAGTGGCCGGACCCTTGCTTCACATTAGTGTACTGCCCGCCGCTTTGAGCAGCAGTTGAAGTGGAGTGGAGGAGGAGGAGGAGGTCACTGTGGCTGAAATTCCGGTTTCGTGCTGGGGGTTGTGGCGGCCAGGTGTACTCTGGAATTTGGTGCCAATGCTCTGTTCAGGCAATTCGGATGGTATTGAAGTTGAAACCGAACCAAGAAGGGAAAATAGATATCATGTAGCAGTTGGAAGTTTCAAGAGCGATATCCAATCATTTTAACAAAGTGCTCGTATGTCTTAATACCTCCCCAAGACCAAAACCTACCCATATCCAGTCACGTGAGAAGCTTAGGTGCATCTCTGGAGTCTGTGTCCAAGTTCGCAGGAGTAAAAGCCACAGGCTCGGACCTTTCCCCAGCCATTGCAGCTTTGATTGAAATGAGCGCCCCTATTGGTTCTGCTTCCTGTCTAAGCTCCACCTTCCTCCTCTTTCACCCATGCCTGCCCAAGAAATATCCAAACAATCACTGCTACACGACTTCTCCGCAACACCATCACGTTCCTTACTACCCATTTCTTTTCTTCGCATCCTTCACCTGCAGCAGGACGTCCATCAATTACAGTCATCAAGTCGTCGACCACTGACAAAATGACTGAGCCCGAGAACTTTGAAGAGGATCTATTCGCCGATCTGTGAGTTACGAGGATTTGCTGCCTGTGATTCCTGTCCACGGTGCTGATACGTGCCATAGTTACGATGATGACACTCCAGCAAAGTCCGCAGCTGTCCCGGAAGCAGCGTCCGCCCCCGCGCCTGCCCCTGCCTCTGTGCCTCAGCAAAGCATCGAAACGCAGGCTGAGCCGCCTGGTCAACCTGAACCAGACTATGGCGGTGGAGGCGGCGGCGACCAGATGAAGTACGAAGACGACGATGACGACGATGATGTAGACTTCAACCTTGGAGATGACAGCGCTGGCGGAGGAGGCGGTGGCGGTGGTGGCGGCAGCTACGCTCCTCCCTCGAACGGCGCCGGTAACATCAAGCACGAGGAACCTACGTACTCGACAAGCACAGCAAAGAACCCAAGTGCCAAGGAAGACGGGTAAGTGGATATTTGATTGAAGCATGATGTCTCCATTTGTTACACCCCCAAAGTCCATGCGCCCAAAGTTGGGTCGCGTGGCCTGATTTGATTAATTCGCAGCTCCTCTGCTGCGGTTTGAGGGAACTTGTGCGTTCAGTGGTCCCATGTAATCTCGAATTAGACCTGCTTGGTCTGAGGGTCTTGGAAGGACAAGAGGGCAACACCATATGTCAACAACCATCGTTTAGGATCATTATTCAGGGCCATCCAATAGGCCGAGGATAAAAGAACCGGAAGTCAAGAGAAGCCTGAAGCAAAGAAAAGAAAGAAAGAGAAGCCAGAAAGAGGTCACAAAAAAAGTCGGCTGGAAATAGCAGCCTGAGATCACCGAGATATGCCGACGATAGTCAGTCATCAGTCAGTCAGATCAGGGGCACCCTCGTGCGCCTTCTATAGCCCAGCCGCACAGAGAACCATCTGCGTTCCTCGGCTGCTGTAGCGAGATTAGCAGCGGATAGCGCTCGAAGCTAGAGCTAGCAGAGACTTGACGATAGCAAAAGACACGAAAAATTCGACAATGACCAGGCTATCCGCTCCGCAATTCTCCCCAGACGTGAGAGAGTTTCTGTGGCTGGCTGGTGCTATTCGTCGTCCACAATCGCTGTGGCTCCTGCTAGGGACCGAAATATTCACATCTCGCGCTGGGGGTTGATGTCTGGATTCAACTGGCACGCGCCACCTAGAGGTCTTCTTCCAACACAATGGTGCTTAAATTCATCATCAACGCCAATGCAGTGGACAAGTTCTTGGCCGCGGCATGGCATGACGAAATTCGACCAAGCTATCGAAGACAAAACAAGCAATCTCGGACTGGTTCCAACACATCAGCCTGAAACGCCAGGAAGAGGAAAACCCAACCAGAATACCGGCCTCTCACTCGTCGTTTCAACGACAATCCAAGCCAAACCTTCTTTACTGGAGGAAGGCTACCTTCGTTATCCGCCACAGGACTATCTTTCGCACGAAATATTCTCGTTATTCCCAAATGTCGTCACTATCACGCCTGTCACCACGAGCACACATCACATGCAATGATTTTCGAGATCCTGAGTTGCTTTGCTGACTGTTTACTCTTAGAAAAATGTTCATTGGTGGTCTCAACTGGGAGACTACTGATCGTAAGTCAGGCATGTACATTAAATCTTGTATTTTGCTAATAGATGAGCAGAGTCCCTTCGAGACTACTTCTCTCAATTTGGGGAGGTTGTCGAGTGCACTGTCATGAGAGACAGCAGCACTGGTCGGTCAAGAGGCTTCGGTTTTTTGACCTTCAGAGACCCTAAAACAGTCAACATTGTCATGGTTAAGGAGCACTTTCTTGATGGCAAGATTGTACGTTTACTCTGGAGCCCACACAGATGTGCATTTCTAATGAAACTCAGATCGATCCTAAGCGTGCGATTCCCCGAGATGAACAAGAGAAAACCAGCAAGATCTTTGTCGGCGGCGTTAGCCAAGAGACTACCGACCAAGAATTCAAGGACTATTTCGCTCAGTTTGGGCGTGTTGTTGACGCTACCTTGATGATGGACAAGGACACCGGTCGTCCTCGTGGATTTGGCTTCGTCACATTCGAGAGCGAAGCTGGTGTCGACGCATGCTTAAGCACCAGCCTTGAAATTCACGGCAAGCCAATCGAAGTCAAGAAGGCTCAGCCACGAGGCAATCTCAGAGAAGAAGAAGAAGCTGCGCGACGGGGCGGCAAGTTCAGGAAGGGCGACGACAATGCTCAGAGTGGACAGAACGGCATGGGAAGTACTCAGATGGCTGCGGCCGGAGGCATGACGCCGCAGGTCATGGCTCAATATTTCCAGCGGATGCAGCAGTACTTCGCCATGATGCAGCAGCAGATGGCCATGAGTCGCGGTATGGGCCCTATGAACCCGGCTATGATGCAGCAGATGATGCAAATGCAACAGATGCAGCAGATGCAAAGTCAGATGATGGGCCGCGGTGGGGGAGGCGGCAACGGTCAGCAGGGTATGATGGGCCAGATGACGCCTCAGATGATGCAGCAGATGCAGCAAATGCAGCAGCAGATGCAGCAGCAGATGGGACAGCAGGGCGGCCCCCCATCTGGGCCTAGCGGCAGCTTCAGCCCACAACAGCAGATGTTCGACCCATCCCAAGGGGGTCAACCGCAGCAACAGCAGCAACAACAACAGCCTAGCCAGGGCCCACGACGGGGCGGCGGTGGCGGCGGTGGAGGTGTCCCCCGCGACCAGTACAACCAAGGGGGCGCCTATGCCATGGGTGGCGGTGGTGGCGCTCCCACGTCTTGGGAAGGCATGTACGACGATGTTCCTCAGCCCAACCTGAACCAGGGCGGCCGAGGGGGTTACAGAGGCGGGCATCGCGGTGGTTCCCACAGCGGCGGCTCGCACCAGGGATCTCCGGATCCTGCGCACGCTCCGCCTGCCAACGCCCCTACGGGACCGAAGAACGCGGGCAGACCCGGTGCCAACTACCGCGGCGGCGGTCGAAGCGGAAACCGCGGTTTCCACCCGTACTCGCGGTAAGGTACGGTTGTATGCATACAGTTTTGCACTAGACTTCAGATGGAGCCAATCCCATGTCCCAGAGGACACAGGATGGTATGTTTTAAATGCGCCTGGGACTTTGCTTCGCCATCTGAGTATTCCCGGGCTTGAGGAGTTATCAAAACCATAATATCGGGCGCCAAAAGAAACCGCAATCAGGAAGGGGGAGGTTCACTTGGGGGTTCGGTTTGGGTCGGCTGACTTGGCTTATTTCTCCCACGGCTATGGTTTTCCTTTTCTTTTCTCCCGTTTCCCTCTTTCTCTGGAAAGTTTGTATCATACTCCAAAACAGAAGAGAAATCAATGATTAATCGGCATTCATGCTTGTCGAGGTTGCCAACGTGACCAGGGCAGGTTATCTTAAAGCAGTGACTAAAGACTATCACCCGAATAACCACAACTTTGACAACCTTGCCAAGGCTTAGTTTCATGAACCAAGAATCTTCTCGCAAGTAGGGTTGCCAATGCCGCAACTGAATGCTCCAGTCTTGAAGGGGTACGCGCTTTGCATAACCTTCAGGACCCGGCCTAGCATCTAGAACTAGGTTTCGCCGCATTCAAGTAAGTAATTGGCACACGTGGAACGGGTGCCCTCGCTTACAGTTGGATATAATATTGTGGCTTGGTGGCGCTAAACCTGGAATGCTTCACGTGGTAACGTCGACGCCCTCAGAACGGCTGCGAGGGTTTTCAGCTCCTCACCAAAACGGTCAAGGGAGTGCAATTTCACGCCGAGACCGGCCGTTGCGGCTGAAGGTGGTGAGAGGGGTTCGCACTTTAGATTCGACTTTCCTCTCAGACCATTCTGATCTCTAGCGCATTTCCCAGACGTCTTTTTTGCGAATTTTCACATTGGGTTTCGGAAGTTGAAGCCATCATGGACCCCAAACAGAACCTCCCGTACTTTCCACCACCTCCAGGTCAAGCTGGACAGCCTCCGCCGCTGCCACAGCGTCTGTCAGACTCACATCTCATTGACACGTCTCCCTTTGGCACTGACGGGCAGCATCACGCTACTCAGCATCCTCAACCCTCTCATCCTTTCGAACACCAGCCTATCAGCCATTTTGCGCCCATGCCTGAAACTTGCCAGTACCCTCAACCTCCAATAATGGCGTCTCAGAATCCCCATCCCTCACACATATATCAGCCAGCAGCTCCGCAGAACAATGCCTATACAAATCTCCACTTCCCTGCTACCCAACACTACTCGTCTGCGGTTCCAACTCCATCGATGTATTCGCATCAGAGCTCGTCATCCGCCGCCGTGCACACTCCCATCCCGCCCGGCAAGTTCCAACAGAGCACTCCTCTCTTTTCGAGCACTCAGAAAGTGCTGGGCTCGTACCAAGGCATAAAGAACAAGGCCAAAGCAAAACTCATGCAGTACCTTGCTCAGCCAGCATCTCAGGCGACGTCTCAAGCCCGGCCTGATAATCCTCACGCCCAATATGTTCAGAATCAAAGTCCTAGCTACTATTCCCCGTCTATGGCTCCATCGGCCAACAGTGTTGTCAATTCTCAAGGGTGTTGCCATAACACAAGTCAGTACCAATATGGGAGCCCTGCTTCCCAGCCTGCAGCAACTGTGCCGTCTGAAACTAGTCAAAGTCCCCAGCAATCCACCCCTCCAGTCTATGGACAAAGCTACACAAGTCCCACGATGTATAATCCTGAGATGGGATTCGAGCAAGGTCATCAAGCCCTTCAACAACCGACGTACAGTCCACAGGTCGCCATGCCGCATGACGCCGCATTACACCACTCTCCTGCCATGCCTCAAGTGAGCCATCCTATGCAGCATGACCAGATTCTCATTCCTGGCACTGCCCAGAATGGAGCATTGCTTGTATACTCGGCATCACCTGCAAAACCAGTAATGAGTCAACCGTTACCACACACCCATCACCACTTGCCTCACCAGTCCCAGACCCAGGAAGCAATGAGTCGTCCACCGGAAACGATGCAAAATCTACAAACAACTCACGACATGCTAGTCAGCCCACCGTCGGATACCCGAATCATATCAACAGTCGCAGTTACTGAGCCTGGTCATTACTTGCCGCCCCCTCAGCCTCTTGTGAACGCTTACGCCAATGGGCCCTCTCTAAGTGGTGCAGGCCACCCTACATCGTATGTACTGGGCTCGTCGAGCACAGAAGAGCCAGCAAATGCCCCAGCCGATGCCGAAAATGCTCATCCAGTCCTAGCGGCACCTCAGCTTTCACCTAAAAGAGATGCCACCCTTGCTCCTCAGCAGGGTAATACAGCTCTTGCGATAGAACAAATCTCCGCTGGACTGGTCAACCTGAGCCTACAGGCCCCGAGTCCGCCGAAGAGCACGCCCTTGGGCCCCGAAGACGAAGAGTTCCACGAGTGGAAACGGCCCATACCCCGCGTTGCTGATGATGGGAAGCCAAACGCCACAATATGGGAATGTCCAGAACAGCGGGAGCTCGACTACGAAGCCGATTGGTATTGCTTGGAGAGTGCCCCTGACTTCCTTGTCTGCACACGTTGCCACGAGATGTACCTCTGCGGGACGCCTCTCGCTTCTTCCATGGAGCGCGTCCGACGAGCGTCCGGGCGGTGCCGCTTCAACGTACCCCGCATCACCAGGCTTCTGCTTCCCGAGTATGTGAAGCACAATGACGACGGGCCCATCCGGGAGTTCATATCATCTCGTCTGAGCATCCTGGACTGCAGGGGCCCGCAAGGCTCCACAGGCGGCTCAGGAATCAAATGGTTCAAGACGCTCGACAGCCGGCTCGAGGGCTTCATCTCATGCAAAGCCTGCTACGAGGACATTGTTCTGGCAACGTCTTTCCGACGATATTTCGTCGCCAACGAGGCGTCTCAGCCGCCCGATACCACCTGGGCTTGTGATGTTTGCCTGCCTTTCATCGCGCGGTCGCTGGTCAAGTACTCCAAGAGGACCACGGACGCCTGGGAGGAATGGGTGAAGGCCGCGGTCAAGCACATCAACCTCCCGCAGTGCGAGAAGAAACCGGTCTCGCCCACCACAAGACAGTGGATGCAGCTACGTGAGCAGAGGTTCCCCGGGATGAAGATGTGCGAGCGATGCTACGAGGAAACTATTGCTCTCACGCCCATAGATGGAAACTTTGAGGTGTTCCCCCAGCAGCCCAGCCACACAGGGCTGGACTGGATGGACGTGGCTCTCGGGTACCGGACCGTGGAACCTTCCCCTTTTCTCTGCAGCGCGACGAGCCTCCCGGTACGCGTCTCGATCGCGGCGGCGAATAGCCAGAAGGATGTCGGAGTGTTTTACAGGGCGCTGGAAACTATCATTCCGAGTCCCCACTGCACCGAGCAGGGCATCGTCGGCGGTGTCTGGTACACCCTGAAGGGCGGCGAATGCGATAGCTACAGCATTTGTGCCGCTTGCTACGCGGGCTATATGAAGACGTGGCAACTAGGCCGCTTCTTCGAGCAAACGAAGGGGCTGGACGGCACGCAAGCTTACCTCTGCAGCTTCCAGCGCTCGGCCCCTCGTTGGTTCCAGCACATGTACCGGATGCAAGAGGCCATCGACACAGGCGTCTGGTCCCGGTACGCGGGCTTCGTCCGCAAGTTCGATGGGGTCCCGGACTGCGCCAGAGAGACGCAGGTCGAGAACCGCAAGTGGTACGGCTGGGACGACTGCACGATCTGCCCGGAGTGCTACATTACGTCCTGCAAAGAGTCGTCGCCGGGCCCCGGCGTCGAGATGGACTACGACAACCAGCTCGTCGCCGACAGGAGGATGTGCTGCCTGTATTCACCCCGGATGCGGCAGAAGTGGATCGAGGCGTGCGAGAAGGGCGACGCCGGGTCGCTGGTCGAGTTTTCGAGGCAGCGACACGGGGTCTACGTGCAGACGGTGCTCCAGGTCCAGATGCTTCGCCAGATGCAGGAGATGCAGATGATGAACGCCATGCACGCCGGCCTGATGAGCGTCACGTACCATGGCATCGAGGGCATGAGGATCGTGTCCGGGACGACGGACGGGTACGAGCACGGCAACGGCACGCTCGGGTGGCACGCGACGGAGGAGGGGGCCACGAGCGCCGCGTTCCAGAACCAGATGCAGTCAGGCATGAGCCAGGCCAACAGCCCGAGAACCTGGATGATGATAGCACAACTGACCATGCAGTGGAAAGAGGTTGAGTGAGTGAGAAGACAAACGTCGGGCACTTTGTCTTGTCCATTCTTTTCGGTCACTTCCATATATTCCCTAGCCATGTCTGTACTCTTCTTAAACTTTACCTCGTAACCTGCGCTTGATTGCTACAAGAATCCAAGTCGACGTGTCAAGAGACTTGCGTTGTATCGTGATCCTCTGTCCTGGTCACAGAGCAACTAGCGGGACTAGGAACTATGGATACGGACCGACTCTATTGACAGTTTCAAGTACTGCTTGCCGTAAGTACATGCCTTAGATTCTGTTGGTTATTACTAGGTTGGGTGAAGCCTTTTCGTCTGGGTGAAGCAGCAGTTACGATCTCACTTCGTAATATCTATTGTTGCCCAAAGAAGGGTAAAAGAGGAAGACACCGGCTACCGGCAGACGTCAGGACCCCAACTGTTCCCGTCCTGATCTTACCCATATTCCAACAGATTCCAATGTGTTGGGGCCAAGTACACGCAGCGTTTCCGGGTTATCCGGTTTATACGTCACGATGAAGTCTATCAACGGAACCCCCAAACGTCTTCTCCCTGATGATTTTTTTTTCCGAGTGACCCTTCCCGACAACAACCCGAAGAAATGCAAGAGGAAGGACGACCGAAAGGTGATTCCGCTCAATGTCGCACAGGTACACAATGATGGTAACACAGTCGGATAAACACAGTATAAGTACGATACTAAACACGATAGGTGTCTATAGATAGAAACACGGTACCATGGAATCTTGTAACCAAACCTCCTTATCAACCGAGGCAGACCTAGAAGGAAGGACGACAACGCATGAGACAGAAGATGAAGCGGGCAATCCAGCAAGAGATTCGTCATTGTCCACCACTCGCTGGGGCAAACGAGGCAAAAGATACGGGCCACGCACACACGCCCCGCGGCCCTCATTGATCAACTACCTCCATACTATCGACCAAAAGGCAGGAGAGAGCCCAGAAACCGAGTCAATCGAATGTCAAATTACCGGGCATATCTTCAGCCCTTGATCACCCACGCAACCCCTGCGGCCCCCTTGCTTCAGTTTCCGAGAACCGTTGATAGCCGGGCTGCCAGCTCTCTCACACACATCACCTTCACAAGCCCACCAGGTCACAAAAAAAGGAAAAGTAAAAGAAAAGCCCGGACCGGCCTCACAACTTTTGCCGAGGAAATCTAGAACACCTCCCCCGGTGGCGCCCTCTCGCAACGCCCTGCAGCCTTCAACTCCCAGGAGCCTGTATCGTTCTCCCTTTCCGAACTTGCGAGTCTCAGGGCCACACTTTCCTCCCAGTCCTTGCACGGCTACTTCTCGACCTGCGCCCACGTAGCACTGCGGGAGGAAAGGAGGCGGGGGCGAAGCCAGCCTCACTTCTCGAGCAATGTCTTGTGTTGCCCTCCGCTCCCCTCCCCCACCCCGCAGCATGCGAACTAGTAGTGTAATACCTAGAACGGAGCTAAACCCCTCGCAGGAGGGAATGCCACGCAGTTCGACTAAACGTCTTTGACAGCTTCGATGAACAAGCCCCGGACCCTCGCACTCGGGTGACAAAAAAGAGAGCCGGTTTCCCCCTACACAACAGCCACCCTCACCACCAGTACTACAGCTCCTGTAATCAGCAATACAGCTTTTTACTCGTTAAAAAATACATTTATGAGTCCTCCTAAGAAAAGAAAGGTTATAAAGTGTAAAAAAGTATTTATCTGACCTATTTTCTGGTATTTAAAAGCAATAGGGCTATAAGATAAGGTTCTTCAAGACCGGCTCTCTTTTTTGTCACCTGAGTGCCTCGCACCCACCCCCCACAGCCAGCCAACCAGCTCTACCGTGCTTCGTGTCGAAAAACGACTAATCGTCTCTCAGAAGGAATATAAAGCAAGACAAAAAATAGAATACAAATGGAGTGCCCTTTTGTTTACTCATGCGTATAATTCAGAGACATTGCTCCTAAAAAGGAAAAGGAAAAGTAAAATATAAAAAGTAGCATGTTTTGTATCACCGCGTGCCTGGGCAACCGACCCTACGAGCGGCCCCGTCTAGGCTGGCTACGTGTATCTCTCAGTCAGTTCGTCGCGCTCCATGCCGTCTTGGGAAATATCCATATTTCCGCCCCCGCCTTGGAAAACATCCATCTATCCTTTGCCCTTCTCGTCACCGGTGAGGGAAACGAAGGGGGGGAGGGGGGAAGAGTTGAGAGAAAAAAAAAGCAAAAATATCAGTTTGAACGCCCCTTCCCCCTTCTTCCCCGTTCTTCCCCAACCTTACCGTTTACGTCACTGCCAGCCCGTCGATCCCCACCCCTTCCTTCCTTTCCTTTTCCTTCCACCTTCTCCCAGGAATAGCGTGTCATGGTTGCCAGACACATCACCTCGCGCCCCTTCCGGAAGAGGTCTAGCTAGCCCTACCTCCATTCGCCGACCGACTGTGGCATCTCGAGAAAGGCTTCCCGGCACTCGGTATGCGGGACCAACAAGGGGGGGGGGGGGAGGGGGCTCAGACAGACCGAGATCCCAAAGGGGCCAGGCCGGACCGCCGACATACCGCCACCACCGTGTCCAACAGCCGGCGCCCGCACACGACGTCCGTCGGGCCCACGGCAACCTTTCCCGTCCACAGGCCCAAAGCATTCCCCTGCCTTACATGCACTAGAGTGCGGTCCCGTGACCGCTCGTCCCGAACTCATCTGCCTCCTTCGCCCCCCCGGCCTCGTGATCACCCTCTGGACCTGCAAGTCTCACATTGAGTTGTCACTGGACCGCACCGCTCCGACGCACACCCTCACTCTCAAAAAGTCAAGTCTCCATTTCTACCCGGCCGCTGTCGCACATCGCCTTACATCAGCGCAGAGGGAAGGCAAACATGCGTGCACGTGCATCCAGCTTTAGACGCGGGTGAGATTCGGACATGGGGTGTGCGTGCGGGTCTGGAAGAAGGGGGGGAGAGAGAGAGAGAGAGAGATGCCCGTCCCTACCTAGGTGGGAAATGGCGTTGGTAAGAAAAAGAAAAAAGAAGAAAAAAGAGAGAGAGAAGAAAAGGAAAGGAAAAGGGAAAAAAAAGCATCTCGAATCGCAGAGTCCTCGTCAACAATTCTCATCCACCTCCTCTTCCCAATGGCTTCGCGTCCACGGGAAAAGCACGAGCAGAAGGCGGCCGGACAAACTCACGAAGTAAACAGCTCCCTCTTTCCCTTGTCAACGATCCTGCACCTCCTCGCGTCTGCCTATCCTCTGCCGCCGTCCTGAACTGACGAAAAAAGCAAGTCCGTCAAGCATCGACGCCTTTCCTCAATCTTAGCGCGTATAGTACACATACGCCCCCAGCCAACCCCCTTTCCCTTTCGGACTCAACTCCTACGCGGGGCCCTCAGAGAGAGGAAAAGAGCGAGAAAAAGAAAGTCTACAGCAGGCGATGCCCACTATTCGTGACCATCGGACCAAGTAGAAAACGTCCCGGAAAAGAAGAAAAAGAAACAAAAAAGAAGCACACGCCTCTTCCCTCCTCTCTCCTCGACCTCCACTGGGGATATTTCCTTTCCGATCCCCATCCGCCCCTCCCCAAGGCAATGATTTCACGATCGACGTAACCCATCCATCTCCCTCAGCCTCGTGTACATCTTCCGGTGGGAACAGAATACGTAAGAGAGAGAAAAAGAATTAGGTAAAACAGAAGAAGAAGAAGAAGAAGAAGAAGCACATAGATGCACTCTTACGGCCGCCCCCTTCCACAAAACCAATCATATGACATGGAATTCAGCTCAAAATAAATAAACAGAATAAAAATCCTTAGCCTCATCACCACCCCCCACTGGCTTCCTCCAGCTACGCCCCCAAAGGGGACCGGCTATCTCGATCCTGAACCTCTTAAACGCCCTTTGCAACCGGTGACACCCCCCTCTTGTGTTCCTCTTCGTCTGCGCCCTGCATCTTGCGTCCTGCGCGTTCGCTTTCCACGTCGGAATGCGGTATGCACTCTGCGCACACGAACCGAGTTCGCCTCGTCCCCGCCGCCGGCCCCCTCGAAACGGGTTTGCCCATCAAACCAGCCCAAGACACGGGAACGCATATAACCCACCGGACCAGCAAATAATCTGCCCGGTGACGCACATATTCATGTACGTCCGAGCCAGTACCACCAAAAAGCAATTCCTCTCTCGCTCTCTTTCCCTCTCTCTAAATTGCCACCCCTACCTCCTCAACCCCGGGTGATGGAGAAAAAACAAATAAGGAAACAAACGACACCAAAAGTGTGGCGACCCCGAGCTCGCCAGATACGGCAAGCAGCCCGTACAAGTGTCTCACAAAAATGAGAAAGAAAGAAAAAAAAACAATCAAAATATTCCGAGAACCATCCTTGGTTGGAACGTACCTTGACGCACACCCCCTTCCCCCCTCAAGAATGCGCCGTGATGACGCCCCGACGCCAGCAACGTCTCAACCACATAGGACCTATCTCTGTTTCTCTCTTTCTCTTCAACGCCCCCCCTTCCCCGTCTCCGAATTCGGAAAGTTGCTCGCCGTCGGCGACAGCGCGCACACAGAGAACACTAGGCCGCCGCCCTCTCCCCCCACCCTCGCGTCTCAACTACACTGCTACTACTACTCTTTCGGGCTGATATGAACATCATCTGTATCGGCATCTGCCGTCGTTAATCTCAGTTTCATAAGGGAAGCCCTTAGATCCCATGTGTGTGATCCACCATCCCTGACTGAGGCGAATACCGGGGGGAGGCGGTCCAGATTGAAGATGAGGATCTGACCGCCTTGCCCCGGCGCTGATACGTCCAATGACTCCTTCGGCCCTGCTTCTCTCAGATGGACGCGGGAAAACCCCCCTCCCCCATGCCCCCATTCATCGTGCTCTTTTCCTCTCGCGGCCATGATCGGCACCTGCACCCACTACTGGCTGCTGTTCGCTCTTGAGGCCTAAGGGTCTTCGCCCCTCCAAATCTGATGCGGCGCTTGGATCCGCATATCTTGCGATTAGGCTGGCGAGCGCCGCCGGT